CCAAGACCACCAAGAGTAGATTGCCACAATCACCACCAAGACCACCAGGACCACCAAGGTCGCCAAGACCGGACCACCAAGGCCACTACCAAGACCACCGGGACTACCAAGACCGGACCACCAAGACCACCAAGGCAACCAGCACCCCCAAGACCACCAAGAGTAGACTGCCACAGCCACCACCAAGACCACCGACCACCAAGACACCAAGACCGGACCGAGCACCACCAACACCGCCTGGACCGCCACAATCACTACCAAGACTACCAAGACTACGAGACCCCCAAGACCGGACCACCAAGACCACCAAGGCCACCAGCACCCCCAAGACCACCAAGAGTACCCTAGGCTTCCAACAACCATTGTTTTAATGGCCTTTACCGAACCACCATTGTTTTACTAAGGATTTTACACTACGCAACCAGGTCAACCTTTCTTTGAATGGTCTTGGAAGCCTAGGGAGTAGATTGCCACAATCACCACCGGGACCACCAAGACCACCAACCACCAACACCGCCTAGACCGCCACAATCACCACCAAGACTGCCACAATCACCACCAAGACCACCGGGGCCACCAATACCACCGACCACCAAGACACCAAGACGGGACCACCAAGGCCACCGAGCACCACCAACACCGCCTAGACCGCCACAATCACCACCAAGACTACCAAGACCACGGAGACCACCAAGACCGGACCACCAAGACCACCAAGGCGACCAGCACCCCCAAGACCACCAAGAGTAGACTGCCACAATCACCACCAAGACCACCGGGACCGGTACCACCAAGACCACCGACCACCGAGACACCAAGACCGGACCACCAAGAGCACCACCAACACCGCCTAGACCGCCACAATCACCACCAAGACCACCAACACCACCAAGACCACCAACACCAAGGCCACCAGGTCCACCAAGACCACCGACCACCAAGACACCAAGACCGGACCACCGAGCACCACCAACACCGCCTAGACCGCCACAATCACCACCAAGACTACCAAGACCGGACCACCAAGACCATGGAGACCACCAAGGCCGGACCACCAAGGCCACCGGGACCCCCAAGACCATGAAGGGCACCACCAACACCGCCTAGACCGCCACCCATGCCACCACGACCACCAAGACTAGCAAGACCACGGAGACCACCAAGACCGGACCACCAAGACCACCAAGGCCACCAGCACCCCCAAGACCACCAAGAGTAGACTGCCACCCAAGACACCAAGACCGGACCACCAAGGCCACCGGGACCACCAAGAGCACCACCAACACCGCCTAGGCCTAGGCCGCCACAATCAGCACCAAGACCACCGGGACTTCCAAGACTAAAGTAGTCTGAGCGAGATATTGTGACATGACATGATCTTCTACTTAAGTAGTCGAACCGAGATAGGGCCTCCACATAATAGATAGCGCGTTTGAGCTCAGTTCCAATTAATAAATGCCGCCGCACACATGTAAGCTGACCGTATATTTAAATCGTACCGTATATTCATTCCGTATGTTTAAAGGGTCGGGCCGGGCATACCGTACTATGCAAAACCCTGCGATCAGATCAGGACACAAATGTATCAACCCAATTGTTCAACTTGAGTGGAACGAACATAACATGAACTGGAAGTGGCCTCAGATTTCGGGGATGTTTGTTTTAAGCATTGGCCTTTTTTGTCTCCGCTGCCCAACGGGTCTGCGATCAGCTCAGGTATTTGTCAGCCCCAAATTTGGCCGCTTGGATGTCAAGGATTTGAGATCAACATGCAACGCATGATAAGATGTTTTGCATTTCTGTCTCTGACGCATGGGCTTGGACAGGGCACCAGGCACGTGGCACCCCCCCCTTTGATTTGCATGGTGCACGCCTGGGGATGGCCTTGATTTGAGGCTGCGCAGCAGCAAGGCAGCTTGGAGAAAAGCATCCACGCAGCTTCTGGCAGGATAGTTCCCTCCTCCTGTTTGTTCTTCTGCGGTGGGTAGGCTTGCAGTCGTGCAGCACAAGACCGAAGTCTCAGATTGACGGATGGAACAGCATGCACTTCGAGAACTGCTATTTCCCTCAGATATCTCCTTGCATTGCATCTCCTTCTTTTATCCATTTTGAGGACTTCCTTGAGATTTGACTGACAACCAACTGCTTGCAGGGTGGCACGGAGTTCTCAAAGCTAGATGATCACCAGCTTTTACTTTGTATAAAGCTATTCTAAAGCTGTGTTTTCTCATGTGTTCCTTTCCAAGACGTGTTTTCTCTCGTGCTGCGTTTCGCCCAAATTCACGGGATTTCTATGGTCCTAGAGTGCTTCTTGTTGCTAGCAGCACGAATGCTACTACTACTGCTGCTACTACTGCTGCTGCTACTACTGCTGCTGCTGCTACTACTACGACGACGAAGACGACGACCACTACCTTTACCACTACCACTGCACTGCCACTATTATTATTATTACTACTACTACTACGACGACGACTACTACTACTATTGCCAGTATAGTAATGCACTTTGTTCCTAGTAGCTTCTTGCTCCTAGTAGAAAGGCCAAGAGCTCCTAGGCGAAACGCCAAAGCAAAATGCCACTGCTCGGCCCACAGGCATCACCCCGAGGCTTCCAGGGCCCCGCTTGCAGGGTGGCACGGAGTTCTCAAAGCTAGATAATCACCAGCTTTTACTTTATATAAAGCTATTCTAAAGCAGTGTTTTCTCATGTGTTCCTTTCCAAGACGTTTTTTCTCTCGTGGTGCGTTTCGCCCAAATTCATGGGATTTCTATGGTCCTAGTAGCTTCTTGTTACTAGCAGCACGAATGCTGCTACTACTACTACCACTACCACTACCACTACTACTACTACTACTGCTACTGCTGCTGCTGCTGCTACTACGACGACGAAGACGACGACCACTACCTTTACCACTACCACTGCCACTGCCACTATTGTTATTTTTATTACTACTACGACGACAACGACGACTACTACTACTATTGCCAGTATAGTAATGCACTTTGTTCCTAGTAGCTTCTTGCTGCTAGTAGTAAGGCCAAGAGCTCCTAGGCGAAACGCCACGGCAAAATGCCACTGCTCGGCCCACGGGCGTCGCCACGTCACCCCGAGGCTTCCAGGGCCCCGCACGGCGACCGCCTAGCACCGGCTCGCACGCCTCACGAGATTCGAAGCGCTCAGCGAGTGGGGCCGCCCAGTGGGACACCAAATTCGACCACGTCTTTTGGGGATGTGTTGGGTGTCGGTGTCATATGTTGTCATTCAAAAAATACATTTGGAATTATATATCTACTGTATATAGTGTTTGTATGTACAGCCCATATATACTCCGCTATAGGTACTGCAGACACGTGACTCTTGACGTATTTTGGCTCAAGGAAAAAGGCGTTCCGTAACGTCGAAACCTCGTTTTCATGGTAGCGCGTGAGCCCGGTGAGAGCGAAAGGGACAAAGCGCTGCGCATCAAGGAAGAGAGACATAGTAAGGTAGAGACCTCCGAGGAGGAGGATCAGGAGATCCCGGGAGCGGCCGCTTCGGCCGCCCCGAGTGGGAAAGAAGAGAAGGAGGAGGAGCCTTTGCCAGCCACATCAGCGGCGGAACCAGCCGCAAACACCACTCCGGCGGTTGTAGAAACTGCCGAAACAACATCAGCGGTTGAAGGAACCGCGGAAACAAAAGAAGAGGAAACAAAAGAAGAGACCACAAAAGAGAAAGAAGGAGGAGAAGAGGAAAAGCCTGAGCAAGACCCCATAGTAGAGCCAGAGGCTGAAGCGGCTGATCCAGCCGCACAGCCATCCTCATCTGGCCGAGTGATCGCCGACTTCCAAACCTCCCCAGAAGGTGTCAAAACAGGTTGGGAGGTTCGTGGCATTCACGCCAAATATACCCCAGCCAAAGTTGATCCCAAAGCACCTTGGAGGGTAAAGAAGAACATTTGGGGACAGGTCAAGAAGCATCCAGAGCCACAATCCGGATTTCGACTTCGAAGCAAGACTTCGCTTCAGTACCGGAGGCTCAAGGACCTGGTCAGGCTGGAGAAGAAGAAGGGTGTCATCACAGAGGATCTGAGGAGGCGCATCAAAGAGTTCGGAAAGGGGCGCACTCCACAAGAGATCAAAGAAGAGCGGGAAGAGCAGAAGGTCCGCAATCAAGAGAAGCGGACCAAGAAAAGGAAGACCTCAGAAGCGGCTGATCCAGCCGAGGAGGAGGAGGTCGAAGAAGAAGAAGAGTCGGTGAGCCATCCAAGTCCGGTTCGACAGCCTCGAACACCGGACGGGCCACCGCCGGCTAAGCGACCGCAAACCCGCGACGCCCAGCGGGGACGGGCGGTCTGGGGGCGTGCACTGGAGTTGAACCTCCGCATCGTCGCCCTAGCCAACGAACGGGCCCAGCGATTGACGATAGAAAATTGGAAATTAGAGAGCCCGTTCCAAGTGCGAAAGTTTGCGGCCGACGAACTTTGCGAGCAGCGGAATCTCAAGGGCACCGTTGCATTGGCCGCCATTCGCGAATTGTGGAAGACCCCCAACGAACAAGGAAAAAGAGGATCCAACGAGGCCTGTAGTTCTTGCGACGAACGGCGGCAGGCACAGCTGCCGGTGGTGAAGGACTACATCAAGCGGCGAGGACTTAAGGGACCTGCCGCTCTTGGATCGAGCGCCAAGTCCAAAGCGGCGCCAGCTGTGAGCCTGACACCTGGGCCGAAAGTGAAGGCCAAATCGAAGGCCGGACCAAAAGGAAAGGCCAAACCATCCGCCGCGCCAAAAGTAGCGGCTGAAGCGAAGGCCACAACTGTGGGTCGTCGCCCGGAGGAACTCACACGGACTACTGTTGAAGTCCGTGGAGTGCCAAAACCCTCCGATCCTTGACCGGGCGAACCGCCCGCGACTGCCGCTGGAAAAGGAGTGAGCGGCAGCAGCAGCAGGGGTTGAGGGCAGGAAACCATGGAACAACAGATCCAACAATTGAGTGAAATGGTACTTCAACTCCAACAGAACCAAGCGAGGTTGGAGCAAGAGAATCAAGTGTTGAGGGAGTCTCAAGGTGGGGTATCAATGCTAGCTTCAGCTGTAGGAGAATTGGCTAAAAGCCTTGAGAGGAAAGATGATAGGAAGAAGTCCCAAATCCTCATGGACACCAAAGGGTTAGGACGCCCCGAAAGTTTTGGAAATGTTGAAGGGGATTTTCGGAAATGGGCCAGGAGCATTGATAACCTGTTCATAACTACTTTTGGGAGAGAGTTCATTGAAGTCCTGGAGTATATTTTGGAGCAGGAAGACGCGATTGAAATGAGTGCTATGGAGTCCGCATTTGGGACTGGAACCATAGCAGCTATCGATGATTTGGAGGATAAAGCTGACCAAATTCATCGCGTGCTCCTGACCCTGACCTCGGGTGAAACAGAGGATTTGATGGTAGGAGCTTCAAATGGGTTTGAAGCATATCGGCGAGTTCACCGCCGTTGGGATCCCCGAACCTCGGGACGGAAACGCAATATACTTCGAGCGATTCTCCAACCGGAGAGAGTCAAGACATGGGCCGCGGTGAGGCCAGCGATCGAACAGCTCGAAGAGCTCATCAGGCGGTACGAGTCCCGGAGGAGTGCCGCAGGGATTAGGGAAACCCTATCGGACGACATCAAGTCCGCTTCATTGGAGATGCTGGTACCCCCAGATCTGGAGAAACATCTTTTGTTGAACAAGAGTAGATTGACAACCTATTCGTTGATCAAGCAAGAGATTGAACTTGTCATTGAAACATCCCTCACATCAAAGTCATCTGTTCCAAAACCAGGTTCATCAAGTTCAAGTTACCAAGGACCTCAACCCATGGACGTCGATTCGATCGGACAATGGATCGCAAGCCTGGTCAAAGGAAAAGGTAAAGGAAAAGGTAAACAGGCCAAAGGTGATGGAAAGAAAGGCTCAAGCAAAGGGGGTTCAAGTAAAGGCTCAAACCCGGCTCAAGATATTACCTGCTACAATTGCGGTAAGAAAGGACACCGAGCGGCCGATTGCTGGAGCAAGAAACGGCCGGATGGAAAAGGCGATAAGTGGTCAGGTTCAGGCAAAGGAGACAAGAGTGGTAAAGGTGGCAAAGGCAACAAAGGCAAAGGTGGAAAAGGCGGCAAAGGCAAAGCCGCAGGAAGTATGGAAGAGATGGACGATCCGGATGATGGCGTTGAGCCAGCTCCGGAGGCTGATGTCGGAATGCTCATGGTAGACTTGAGTGGAATTGGAATGGCGGACACCTCATCCGCCGAAGAATGGATGAAGTTTAACCTGGACACTGGAGCAGCCCAGACAGCCATCCCGAATGGCTGGGAGGATCGAGTGGTTGTCAGTGAAGGCAACGGAGTTGTGTTCAAGACTGCATCAGGAGAGTTGGTGCCCAGTCAGGGCATTGGAACCTTTGAAGGGTTCGACGAGAGCGGCAACAAATGCCGTGTGAAAGGTTCAATGGCTGATGTTCACAAGCCATTGATTTCAGCATCCAAGTGCTTAGGCTTTGGAAGGATTGCAGTTCTCAATGCAAAAGGCGGAAACTTGATTCCGCAAGGGTCCAAAGTTGGAAAGGCTGTTCAGGCGATCCTGGAGAAAGCGAACGCTGCAGAGCAGCGGAATTGGATCCCTGTGTATCAAGAGCAGGGAGTGTACAATTTCTACTTGAGAAAGCCAGGGTATAAACCGACCAAGGAATGCTGTGGCATTGCAGAGTTGAACGCCGCAGGAGAAAGAGGAGATGCCTCTATGGATTCAGGCCGACCTGGTCCAGAGGGGCGAGAAGAGGATGATGAGTTGGAATTAGTTGATGAGGTTGAGAAACCCATCCAGATAAGAGCGCCGGAGGATCCAACCCCGGCTGAGATCGAAGAGCACGAGGCGACAGGCCATGTGCAATATCGAAGTTGGTGCCGGCATTGTATTGCTGGACGGGCTGTGGGACAGCCACATCGGACGAGGTCCGAGGAAGAGAAGGCCAAGAGCCTTGTGCCCACAGTGGCAATGGACTATACGTTCATGTCACGGGGCGGCGTGGAGGACGAGCGAGTGAAGCCGATCCTCGTAGTGAAGGATGAGAGGACACAGTCCTTAGCGGCGACCTTCGTGGACTCGAAGGGAGCGACACCGTATGCAGTGAAGTTCGTGGCGAACTTCCTGAAGAACTTGGGACACCGCAAGGTGGTCCTCAAGTCAGATGGTGAGCCATCAGTGGTAGCCTTGAAAGAGGCAGCGGCGAAAGAAACCGGCATAGACTGGGTTTCGGAAGAGTCGCCAGTAGGAGACCATCAAGCAAATGGTCTGGCAGAGAACGCCTGCAAGGAGGTCAAACGTCAAGTACGAGTCCTCCGCAGCGCATTGGAAGAGAAGCTCGGCAAAGAGCTCAAAGATGATGATCCTGCGTTGGCATGGCTGCCAAGACAGGCAGGAGACCTGTTGAGCAGGTACAAGAAAGGTCAAGATGGCAGAACGCCTGAGGCCAGAAGATGTGGAAAGCAATGGCGGAAACCTGCCATAGCCTTTGGCGAACGCCTATACTTTAGGGAAGTAGGCGAGGGAGTTCGCATCCTGAAAGAAGGACGCTATGTAGGACACCATGGCCGAACAGGATCCATTTTGGTGATGACGGCCGATGGCGTGCGAAGAGGCACAGGAATCCGGCGGCTGAGTTCAGCCGACCGCTGGGACCCAAGTGATTGGGACCTTTTGCGGGGCTTACCGTGGGAGCATTCCGCGGCAAGGCCTGCCGGCGAGCAGCTGATGCTCGAAGAGCGCCTTGTGGTACCACCTCCCAAGGAGGAACGAGTGGCACCACCACAACAGAGGCGAGTGTACATCAGGAGAGAGGATGTGCACAAGCATGGAGCCACAGAAGGCTGCCCAGGATGCAAGTGCATCTTGGAAGACAAAAGGACGACCTTGCCGCACACAGAGGCGTGCAGAGCAAGGATCACCGAAGCAATGGAAAAGGACGAAGCAGGGCAAGCGAGACTTGAAGCCCATGCAAAGAAGAGGAAAGAACGGCAACAGCTTGACACTGTGAAGCCGAAAGTCGTGGCCGATAAAGACTCCGACATCCCAGCCGAAGACGCGGCTGGGGAACCAGAAAAGAAGGAAGAAGCAACGAGCGCAGGGTCGGGAAGCTCACCGCCAGCAGCAGCAGAGGGTGAGAAAACCTATCCCGATGACCCGAAAGAGAGATATGAGATGAAGAGGCAAGCAGCCGAAATAGAGAAGAAGCCAGTGGCGAAAGCCAAGGTAGCAACAGAGCCCAAGAAGAGAACAGGAGAACTTCGGATAGATCCACCTGGGGCAAAGGTCAAGCCGAATCCAGTTCAAGGAACAAAGAGGTCCGCAGAGACCGCCGTAGAAGACCTTGATCCCAGAGTGGAAGAGAGTCCAAAGAAAACGTCTCAGTTTTCACATGTTCCAGAAACACCACCAGCAGGGTGGAGGCCAGATGCAGCCAGCTTAGTAAAAGAGAAGGAGATCGCAAAGCAGCATCTGAGGAAGATCATTCAAGGAACCTATGAGGCGAGCGGCATTGAGATCTCTGAGCAAGAGATCGGAGACATCGCTCATTTGAGCATGCAGATGTCAGCAGTAGATATCATGGAGATCTACTCGCCCAAGAGGTTCACTGCGCTTGCAGAGCGCTACAAGTTGCGACCGGGTTTTGCGGTCGACTTGAATGAAATGAAAAGTGATGGAACATACTGGGACTTGAATAAGCCTGAAGATGTTCAAGAGGTGCATGACATCCTTGAGAAGGACGAACCGGCGCTTTTGACTGGTTCGCCACCGTGCCATATGTTCTCGCAGCTCCAGAATCTCAACTGGAGAGGCATGGCACCGGATGTCCGGAGGAGGAAAATGGACGAAGCCGTCCACCATCTCCATACGAGCGTAGAGCTGTATGTCAAGCAGCATCGCTCAGGGAGAAAATTCCTCCACGAGGCACCTTGGTCCGCGACCAGTTGGAAGGATGAGAAAGTCGCGGCCTTAACAGAGGAAGATGGAGTGTTCATAGTGAAGGGTCCAATGTGCAGGTGGCAAATGATGGCCACCGACCGAAGAGGACTCCAAGGCACTGGCTATGTGAGAAAGGAGACCGGTTGGATGACCAACGACGAAGGGTTAGCCAGAGTCTTGCAAGGAGTCTGCTCGAATGAGTCGGGCAAAGGACCATGGCACCGACACATCCATCTGATCGGAGGCATTGCAAGGCAAGCAGCGGTATACCCACCGCCGCTCGTGAAGGCAGTGCTGAGGAGCCTGCGTGACACACTAGCTGAGAAAGGTGAGTTGAATACCTTTGATTTGTTTGCAGCAGGCCCAGTTCCAGAGATGCCTCTGATGGAACCTGAGTTCGAAGAGATTTACATGGATGATGTGAACGGCGGCATTTTGCCAGCCGAGAAAGTGAAAGAGGCAAGACGCCTTGAAATGAATTATTTGAAAGAAAAGCATGGTGTTTATGTGACCCGGCCGAGAGCCGAATGTTTTGAGGAAACGGGGAAGCCCCCGATTCCAGTCAGATGGTTGGACACCAACAAGGGAGATCCAACAAACCCGAACTATAGGAGCCGATTAGTTGTGCGTGAGATAAAGGCAAGAAAGACCAAAGAAGAACAATTGCCAGCCAACCTGCTTTTCAGCAGCACGCCACCATTGGAGGCGATGAGACTGCTGTGCTCGTTGTGGGCAACAAAGAGAAAGTCCTGCCACAACCAGCCGCTGAAGCTGGGCTTGTGGGACATCTCACGAGCACACTTTTATGGAACTCCGAAGAGAAAGATCTACATAGAGCTGCCGCCTGAGGACGAAGCCAGCAAAGATGGACAAACCTGTGGACTTCTCGTGAAGTCAATGTATGGAACACAGGATGCTCCAAATATCTGGCAGACGCACTACACAGAGACTCTGCAGAAAGCTGGTTTCCGCAGAGGCTTGTCAAATGCGTCAGTCTTCTACCAAGAAGCTTGGGACGTCAGAGTGATGGTGCATGGAGATGACTTCCTAGCGCTTGGGGACGCCCAACACTTGGAGAAGCTCAGCCAAGTCCTCAAAGATGCCTATGAGCTGAAATGTCTCGGAATTCTTGGAGACGAGGATGGAGACCGAACAGAAGCTCATTTTCTGAATCGGTTAATCCGAGTTGAGAAGAAGAACGGCAAAGGATCAATTGTGATCGAAGCCGATCGGAGACATGTTGATCTTTTGATCCAGGCATTTGGTCTGGAAAAGGCAAATGGTGTAGAATCACCAGATGTCAAGAAGTCGGCAGATCAGCAGATGCTGGAAAGCCGCAGTCCGCTGCTTGATAAGAGCGAGGCATCAAAGTATCGTTCAGCGACGATGCGTGCTGCGTACTTGTCCCAAGATCGACTTGATATTGGGCACGCAGTCAAGAACCTTGCTCGAGGTATGGTATCACCAACAGAAGCCAAACTTGCTGACTTGAAGCGTCTCATCAGGTACTTGAAGAAATACCCTGATGTTGGGCAATGTTTTGGCTCGCAGCAGACGCCCTCAAGGCTGAGGGTGCAGGTTGATGCCGACCATGGTGGTGACGCTGTGACACGCAAAAGCACGACTGGCATGGTTGCTATGTATGGCATGCATGTGTTGAAACACAGTAGTAACATCCAATCCACTGTAGCCCTTTCTACAGGTGAAAGTGAATACTATGCACTTGTGAAGGGAGGATCTGTGGGCTTAGGCCTCCAAAGCCTATGCGCAGACCTTGGTTTGGAATTAGGAGTCACCATCGAAGGCGATTCCAATGCAGCCAAAGGAACTGTGAATAGAGTGGGTTTGGGTAAGGCCAGACACATCCAAACTCGCTACCTATGGTTGCAAGAAAGGGTCGCCGAAGGCCACTTGAAAGTGCACCACGTTCCAGGTCTCAAGAACAAAGCCGATGTTTTGACCAAATCGGTTCCTGGAGTGCAGCTTCGCAAAACCATGGAGGACCTGCAGTATGCATTCCTCAGCAAGCGAGGCAAAGGACAGTTAGATGTTTTGGAGTAAGGTCCCTGGCCAAGCTCCACTACCACAACTGAAAGTGGCTAAGCAGCGAAGAGTTTCACATGTTTCCTTTTATGCTTGCGCAGCAGTACAGTGCTTTGCAAGAGGAGGAGTGTTTGTATGTACAGCCCATATATACTCCGCTATAGGTACTGCAGACACGTGACTCTTGACGTATTTTGGCTCAAGGAAAAAGGCGTTCCGTAACGTCGAAACCTCGTTTTCATATAGCTTATAGTAATACATATATATATATATATATTATATCTTATGTATATACAGTATATAGACATAGTTATTTGTTGTTTGAAACTTGGGTTCTACATGGTTTGGGCATGTTTGGAGTGTCGTTATCGTTGAATTATTTAGTTATGTGTTTTTTATTTGTCCAGGCATTTTTGGAGGATGACCCCAGCTTTGGCGTTCCCAAACCAGAAGGATGGTTGGGCCCGCAAAACAGTTTTTGACATCTTCTCCCAAATCAGATTTGGGATGGGCAGGCGTTCCTCAACAAAGGTGTTTTGAGCGGATCGGGGCTGTGGAAACGGGTCGAATTGAGGCCTTTTTTTGGTCGTTGAGGCCTTGTCACTGCCATTCTGGGATTGTCGTGTGCTCCTTGTCACCAACGCTTCAGGTTCTGCCTCTTCTTTGCGGTCCTCGGTGGCGGGGCTACCAGAGGTGGGCAGCATCTCCTTCATTTTCAATGCCTACTCAGAAGGCCGGGCGTGTTGTGCAGGGGCAGCCAGACAGTCGGATGAAGATGTGACGGAAAGGGCTGTGATAAGCCTAGGCTCCAATCATTTGGCATGTTTTCTGACTGATATGGACGCCTAAGAAGGTGGACCTTTGCGGACCTGTCCTTTTCATTCCTTTCTTTCCTTTGTTGCTGTGAAGTAACAAGTGCATCGCTAGTAGTTACAAGTGCTACTAGTAACAAGTGCATCGCTATTTCACAAGACTGCTTGGTTCTGAAGACTTCGCAAGCCAGCTCATGTCCTCCCGCATCAGTGGCAACCACTGGGACCAGCGATAGCTCAGATGGAAGATCAACGCCATTCAACGCCCAAAAGAGGCTCCTCCCACCAAATGAACCGATCTCCTTCAACGCATGGGGCCCCTTGCGGAGGTGTGTTAGACTTGCGCTGTTCACCTCCTTTTGTGACGTTTCCATACACAGAACTGGTAGTGTTTCAACTAGTTGCTCACATAGTATTTATCGAGTTTCATCGATATTCCTTTTTTGACTGGATGCATGTTTACCTCCCAGCTGCCTAGAAAACCGCAGCGGGCCACTCAAACCTGCGGGAGGTTTGAGCATTGTGGAAGCCACCTTGCGCTTCGACACCTTTAAGGACCATGAACCAAGGGTCCCCGAGATGAGGTGCTCCGGGATGAACTAAAACGGTTGGGAATCGAGACAGAGAGGGGTTTGGTGCTTCAGCGGGAGGGTCCGCGTGTGTCCCATGCAACTACTTTCACATGAACGAGTGAGTGAGTTATGGGAAAATAACGATGTGTTTTGACTTGCTGCTTTGGACGAGGCCTTTGCCGGTCAGCTCAAATGTGCAAAAGTATGCAGAAGTCATGGCCGGCAGAATTTCCGAGCGTGTTTGCACGGATTAGGAGTCAAACTAATTTTAGATTGTTTCCCTAGAGCCGAACTCGCTGACAATTATACAATATTATGCACATATTGAACAAAATCGATGTTGCAGACCCAGCAACACGACAAAATGGTGCAAACCCCATGCGCCAGAAAAAGCTCATGGGCAGTCTGCCCGAGTGCTTCTTGAAAACCTGGGACCTGGAACATCCCCTCGTGTCAAGTAGGTCTAAACTGGTCTACCCTCTTTTTCCAAAGACAATGAAGAAAGGAATTAAGAAAGGACAGGTTTGGAGGGCCTCAAACATTCCGTAAATCGTGATTATTGGCCTCGCCAATTATGTGAAACAAACTTAAGGGTAGACTTTGAGGTAGGGTAGCACCACAATAAGGGTAGAGCCGGTTGAGTTGTATATATTTGTATATCTCAGTTCTTGGTTTTGACGACCTGGAACACACGGAGCATGTCACGTTGAGTTTTTGTCTAACAGATCATGGGTGGGTTGATCAAGGTACATGTCCTCAAAATGGGTATGGGTCAAAAGCTGGGGCCCCAACACCATGTGGCTCGACCGTTTGGCCTTCTAGGTAGGTCAACCAAGGAACTTGCGGGCATTTCCTAAGCAGTGCAATCTTGATTTGGTGCTGATAACTGTAATTCAGAATTGGTCAATTAGATCTTGATCTCTACGTCTATGCTTGTTCATTGGCCTGACACATTACCGTATAACACCTCAATGATATCTTCCGCGGCGCGGATATTCTGTGTCACGGATATATAGTATTTGGTAGATATTGCTTGAACAGCGGATACGCACTCCCCTCACTCCCCTCGGACCGGTTTGGTCCCAAGCGCCTGGATGGACTGCGCAAAGTCCTCTGGTCGGTATCAGACAGTCGCAAGTATCGCCAGTAGGTCAACCAAGGTATCCTGGTGATTTTAAATAGCTGTGTTTCTCGATTTTGTAGTTTACCCTTGATTGACAGGCTTCTTTCTTGACCCCTATTGACAATATCCGAAGCCTTCAAGCCTTCCTGGTCAGAGTAATGGCACAAACCGCAAGAAACCCCAAGATGTTTTTAGATGGGGGCCACGTGAATCACCAAACCTGGGGTTTTTGCCATCTACTCCCAATCCACTACAAATGGGGTGTGTCCCATTGCCTGGTAACACTAGACAAGAGATTACCACGATGTTTGAGAAAGGCTTTAAAAAGGAGAACATCATAATCCACTGAAAACCGGGCATGGGATATACCCAATCCATGCCAATCCACACAGATCTAGCAGTTGCCATTGGGCGTCACGCAGGCACTGGATCCGCAGTCGCCATTGGGACCAGTTCCGCAACTGGGTCCAGACGGAGGCGCAGCGCTGCTGTTTGGGACAGACTGACCAGGCCGGGCCCGCGAGCGCTGTGGGGCCACCAAGCGGTCATGGTGGGGTTGATGAGCATTTTGCAGCCATTGAGGCAGGGAAGTCCAAGTGATTCTAGAGTTTGTTAGGCGAAATCAAAAATCAAAGCCATTTGAACATTTTTGAGTCATCCAACACCTTTCGACTCTTGCAGTGCGGCCCATTAGGCATCCGGGCCACCCCAGCAACTAAAGGAATGAGCCGGGGAGCTCGTGAGTTTGGGCTCAACGATGTCGCTCGATGATCACACAGTGGCCGAGCACTTACAGTTGACCTTGAATTGCTTTGTCAATTCGGCATGGCGTGGTTCAATATGGTTTAACATGGTTAACTATGTTTAACTAGAGGGGGTGCAAAGAGCAATTAGTAGATTAATCGCACATGCAAACAAACTTAGCAACGAATCAACGACTATCATTAGTGATAGTTCGCAATGGTGGACTAACACTGTACAAAATTCTGCGCTTGGCGGAACGTCGAAAGTTTTTAGACATCAAGTGACAAGTGTCTACCAATTTGTCTCCTTTGCAAGGGCAACTGCTTCGAGGGGCCTCTGGAATTCTATTACCCGGGGCAGCCGGACATGACCCTGGTCGCTGGCAGTGTTGCGGTCATGGGTGCCTTGGGCGAACATTTCAGCATATTCACGAAACGGTTTAAACGGGTCGATGTGGATCAGGAGTTGAATTGGCCTGGTGCTGGCCATCTACACGATGACCAGACATGTATTTGTAGACCGGCAGTGGTCGGACGGTCAGGGTTTGCCGGGTTGGCTTCGTGGATTCTTACACCAAGAATTCTCAGAAGAACGTCACCCAGGACCTGAAGAGAAGGAACGCCTCGATATATCGGAAATGATCCAAACAAGTTGACAAGTTCAGGAGTTTGGATGGAAGGGGATTGTGATGCGCGATCCGGAAAGGTCTTGAGACCCTCGTGTTCCGACCGGCTGGTGGAAATAAATCCAGCAGTAGCTACAGCATGCTACAGCAGTGTCCTCGCTGCAACTTTCTGGCACCATGCTTCGGGGGTCCTCCTCAGAAGTAGCACCATACCACCTGCCATCACCTGCCCTTGTGCATCCTTCGAAATATTTTTGGAGTAGACGTGCGTACCCAGCCATCAAGTAGAGAACGGGTTCTACTACAAACAAACCTGCAAATATCCTGAAACGCATTTTGACATTGGACTGCAGGTATCCAACAGAATGGAGAGAGCGAGGACGGCAATGAGGAAGAAGAGGAGGAGGAGGGTGATGATGATGAGATCGGCAAGGATCCTGAAGAGGCTTTGCGCACCTTGGCTAAATACTTAGCCGTTACTTGAAAGCACTGCCTGGCATGAATTGCGTATCGGATGTCGGAGGGTGAAGTGATGGGCTCTACGTTCTACACACAGAAACACTCCACAGGTTCAGCACACCACTTTCAGGCTGGCTTGGTTTTACCATTCAGGCTACGCGACAACAAGTTTGCCATTTCAGAGCTTCACCATGTCAGAGTTTTTACTGTCTAGTTAAGAATGCTGTGGATATGTTAAGATAAACGAGTTCGATTGTAAGGCTTCAAAGTGGAAGTCTGGGCACGTGCCGGGTTTGGCGCCTGGCCCGTTCCGTTCGTTAAGCCGCCAAACGCGGCCGAACAGGAATTCACGGTGGGTTGTTGAAGCAAAGCCGACAGGACGGGGCGGAGCGGGCGGCCAGGGGCCGCTCCATAGACTCAAGATGACTCAAGGCGGAGAATTGAATGAGTCCAGTCAGAGAATAGATAAATAGATTGATTGATTATATTGATTGATTGATTGCTAGATAGATTGATAGATAGATAGATATAATGATTGATTGTTTGATTGATTGATAGATTCATAGATTGATAGATAGATAGTTTTTTGGGGCAGTTTGGCTCACTCTCCGCTCTCGGAAACGGTGGGGCGAAGAACACTCGAATACTCAAGTGTCGGTGTGCATCAGATGTGCTCACTACGCCGTGGCGTGCTATAGAAGAGAAACCCAACCATGTCTGGCTCAAAGAGATCAAAAGCTGCTTTAGCGATCTCGTGCCAGTGTCTCTACTAACAATTTCAAATCAAGGAGAAAAAGAGGATCCAACACTAAATGCATTCAAAGACATGTCATGCTCTTCGGCAACATGCAAGTGAAGGGGTGTGAGGAGCGTCTCAACTCATTCACCCAAGTGCAAAATGCACAATCCCTCCCTCCCATTCACTTCAGCCGCGCCCAGCTGCTCCAGCAAGGCTAAGCTGCCCGCAGCGGCCAGAGAACAGTGCTCATAGTAGCGCTAAGCTGACGGGCCCATGCAATGATAGACCATCATTGGTCCATCCGTTGGGATTCTGAACTGCGGGTTGACGTGGGTCAAAACCGCTCTCTGGTATCCAATGCCCAGGTTCAAATTGAGTGCAACCGTGCATCGGTGAACAAACGCCCACGGCTTGTGGCCCAGGTTCGTTTGAGCACCGCATCCTGTGCATGGCAGGGACATCACCTCATGAAAATCTTGACGTTGCTGAGTGCGATGAAGAACATAGAGGAATTCTGGATGCTGGTCCCTGATGTGAGCCTGGAGCCCTGAATAACTGAGCACCATGCTGCCACAGAGCATGCAGTGAGCCTGCATGTGTTCCAGTCGGTTCTTCGGATACTCCTCCAAGCGCCAGACATGCTTGCTGTACTCCAGGGCGGTGCGGACCGTGATAGAGTTTAGCCCTCGCAACCAATAGGAGGGTGAGCGACAGCGAACCCAGCTGAACTGAATGAGCCAGATGCAAGCCCAGTCATCAGCAAAGGGCGGCTGGGCGTCATACTGTGTGGCTTCCTTCATGTCGTCGAATACCAACCAGCCCTGTTGATTTCGACAGACTGCTTGGATGTGTCCTTCTTTGTCCCTTCCTCTATGAATGCCGCCCACGGTATTCCATGTAAGTTTGCGCACTCTCTTGCGCACGGTCTCGGGGATCTTGAGCTTCCAGGGAAACTGGAGTGGCGCACCTGGTGTTCTCAGTCCAACCCTTCCCTTTCGTCCTGCCAAGGCACTGTGGAATCCTGCTAAGACGCAGGGCAGGACGCCCGGAATTGGGACTGGGTGCAGCCAGACTGCTTCTTGAAGATGGAGATCCGAGGCCACTAAAGAGCAGGAGCAATGCCAGCAATGCCGCCAGACCACGCCAGCAGCACGCCAGGCGCTGGGACGCCTGCAAGCCCGCACTGCTCCCAGGTCATCGCGGAGAGCGCAAGCCGGGTATCGCAGCCATCAGAACTGCAAAAGGCTGATAGATCGATCGATCGATCGATAGATAATAGATAGATAGATAGATAGATTGATATAGATTAAAAAAATAGTATACATGAGATAGACTAGAAAGATAGATACATTGGTAGATTGATAGTTTGGTAGATATGCATATTCATATCTATATACATTTATATACATATAGTACATGGATCTTCCGGTCCAACCATGCAACATTTCTGCAACCTTTTTCTGAATTGATGCATGAAAAGATGTGAACAGATATGAATGTTTCGTAGTTGTAACATCCGGTTGCTACTGATGATATCCAACCATTCCAAACCCTCCTTTTCTCACTAAAGCAAGCGAATTAACACTTGCATCTACTTTATTCTACGATTGACACTCTTATACAGATTGCGTGCTTTGACGCTTGGACCATGGTCATCTGGAATTCAATCGAGCGATATTCGCACCATCACCGACCCCAACTGCGCAGGACACGATGGACACCACGCAAAACCCAGGTGGAGCCCGGCACTGAGTTGCTTCATGTTAGAATGGTAGCTTGAGGGTGAAACATGGGATAACTCACCAAGCCCGTGTTGCTTCTCAGAAAGCAATCAATCTACAGTACATAATTGCATCAAACGGCCCTTTTGAGGAGCAGCCTATGTTTGAAGAATTGGACTGCTTCGCCACCCCAATCTGTTCATGTTTGGCCCAAAAGCTTCGAATGCTGAGGAGCATTCTGCCTCCAGCGGCAGCATGGGCTGCAACGCCAGTCCTCCGATGACCGGCAAAGGCTCCCAGGAGGATAGCAAGGAAGATGAGGCACGCGTTTCCTTCCGTCCGCCGCGGGGATCGTCGGCGGGTGTTCCAAGGATCGCCGTTCGGTTGGAGGATGAATCGAAAAGCGGGGTCTTTTGTTCGGTCGAAACGTGCGCGTGTTGTAACACAGGACATGGAGTGATGCCTCCAAGTTTTCTGCTGTGGCTAATGAATTTCACGAAAGGTAGCGGTTACGCTACCTGAGTTGTCTTTGCTTTGGCAATCATGTATTGGGGGTGGTGAACTGCTCCTGCATGCTCCTGCGCTTGATTTCGGTCGTTTAAGAGCTGGTTTTAAATGTCAGGGCCCCGTTTTTGGGCCCCCATTTGCTGTTGCTTCATGATGGTTCTAGTTATGTGTGCTCTTACGCAATGCGTACGACCGGCAATAATATTTGGCTCAAGGCACATCTTGCGCGATACAAAAGACGCAGTTCGCCTTCGCTCGCACGCTCTTTTGGGTTTGCTACGTTGTAAGTCCGATCCAGGTCGATACTGAGGATTACACGACTGCGGGGGATTCCACCCTCAAAGTGGTAGCAGAGCTCTGTTGCTCCAGAAATCCCGAACTAACGGGTGTGCTTCGGCACACCTTCGTTCGAGCAGAGCCGCTACAGCTAGCGCACAATGAGCGATAGCGAGAGTTCAGAAGAAGGCCATGAATCAGATTATTATCCAGATGGTAGCGCTGCGTATTATCAGGCCCAGGCACCAACAAGCCCCGACGCCGCTCTAACGGCAGGGCGTCGTACGCCAGATGCGTACGCAGCACAGGTTCCCGAGACCTCTCAACTTAGGATGACTCCGAAGATTGCACCAACTTTCGATGGTTTAAACATCCAGGTTTGAGTATGAAGATTGCATAGACGACTGGTTGAACCTGACAACACTGACTCCTCGCAAACACGGTCCTAGCCTGAAAAACAGTCTTGTAGGTGCAGCCGCACACTATAAAGGCATGCTAGAGAACCGTCTCCTCGCAGATGCAGATCATGGAGTTGAATATTTGAAGAGAACACTTAGTCCATTTTTCATCAAGGACAATCAGTCAACATGTCACGAAAGGTAGCCTGGTAAGGACTACCTTGAGTTTGCTTTGCGAAGCAAAGGGACTGGCTTGAGAGCTTGCTCGGGACTAAAGATTGGTAGATCAATGTCTAACACCCCCACCCCCCCCCCCTCCCATGTGATGAATGATTGATAAATCAATTGATTCGACCCCCCCCCCCCTCCCCTCCCCGTCCCCTCCCCTCGTCGCCAGCACTACTAAATTCTGGACATAAGGTGAAGTCATGCGCTCGACAGTCACAGCAGTACGACGCTGGCCATGAGGTTGCGCAATACAGCACGAACCCTGCGCAATGAGGTCGCGCAATGCAGCTTCGATGCCGCGCGTGCGCACCCGGCAGCCTGACACAGCGCGTACTGCGTTCACAGACCATATTGCTCGACACCAACGAGCATCGATGCAACACAGCCTCTCTGCAAAGCCCTGTGGAGAAACCCCTCGCGTCGCGGAACACCATTCGACTCAGCCTTATACCCTGGCGTGGCGAAATCTTGCCGCATCGTGGAGCACACCCACCATAGCGTGACGTCCATCCCTGGCAGTACCGGCCGCACCCCTCCAGCACTATCCTTACAAGGGGGTTGGTCGCTGAGTCACTGCGGCTTCGACGCAACGCGTGCAGGCCTGTAATCCTGACACAGTGCGTGCAGCTGTGGGACCATAGCTGGTACACATGCGAGCGTTTACGCATTGCGACTTTTACGCACGCCTGTTTTCACACACCTAGACACAAACGAGCGTCGACGCAACGCAGCCTCTCTGCAGAGCCGTGTGGCGCAATCTGACCGCAACGGAGTTCCTCTTGAGCCTTCTTATGCCTTCTTGTGCTCTCTGGCTTTGTTGGTTTCATCCATGATTGACCAAGGGGCACGTTCCTGAAACACCGGAGACAGTCCCTCACCAGAAAAGGTCCCGACAGCTACTCGGTCCGTCTCTACCTTTCGTGTTTCCCCGCTCAAGTGTTTCTGATCAGATTCCTTCAGTTGTTTCGACAATGGCGTGGTTCCCGTGAGATGGTCAATTGGATTGGTCTTTTCGAAATCACCATGAGACGTTTACAAAACGCATGGATGGACTTCTACCGAAACCTTCCGGATCCACAATCCCTCGATTTCACAAACACACTTACTCTGCAGCAATGCCAAGAGATAGCAGCAATGGACGCAGAAGACAGACCAGACGCTGTACAGCAGATTTGGAATCAGAGAACAGAAGCAGCCAGACGAGCACATCAAGCCGCATTCCCATTACCCGGGAATTTGATTGCCATGATATTCATTGTGCAAGCAGTTTTGAATGAGCAACAGCGAGAACGCCTTGTATCAGCAATGAATGCACAAACATTCCAATGGAAAATTACGAGTATCAGGCAGTCAAGACGACAGTTTCTACAATTTTTCTGTGTAAGTAGAACCAGCATTAGTGGTCCACAGCTTCAACACCGCCCTAGCGGTCGTCGGCGTCGAACATATTTCATCGAAGAGCACGGCACCATGGATGGCGAAGGAGGCTACTGGGTGACCGATGAAACAACTGGTGAACAAGGTTTCATGGCGCTGTACGACGAAGATCATTTTAAGGCTATCGTAGAAGGAAAATCTGCGGCAGAAGAATCAGGAAAGGTAAAGGAAAAGGAAAAGGTCGAAAAAGGGCAGGTTTCAGACCCCGTGGTCGGGGAAAAGGCAATTCGCACATGACAGAAATTCTTTTCGAATATGAAGATCCGGACTCCTCCTGCCTTGGTAAAGGCAAAGGCAAGAAAGGCAGCAAGTCTTACACCCCGCAATGGCATCAGCCATATTTTGGAAAGGGAACCAAAGGCAAGGACCAACAACCATTTGCAGGAAAGGCCAAAGGAAAGAGCAAGAAAGGAAAGGCCAACATGACAGAATATCGTGTATCTATCAAGATGCAGACATTGAATTTTCGATCTTCTTGTGAAGGCTGTGTTCATGCCCACGTATCCATTCCAGCTAGAAAGGAGGTCCTGAAGTTCAACCTGCTCTTTTCCCTCGATGGCAGACAGAGTCGGCGGCGTGTAGATGGCCCCGGTGTCAGCAACCTTTTGTCAAGATTGGCGGAAGAACTCGAAGAAGGAACACTTGCAGGAATTCATGGAGATCCTGCTGATTTGCTCCGATGTTTTGGAAGTGCCCCAAGGTCAATCCAAAGGTATTGTTCGAAAAGCTCCAGAAAGAGGTACCGTCCACCTCCCATGTCATCCCATGATGGTGTTCTGAGCTGGCATACGCACCAAAGGAAGGAGGTGACTGCAGCGTTCAGGTAGCAGCGATTCTCCACGTTTGTCAGCCTCAGCTGAGCCAACCCATCAACGTCGCGCTTTGGAGAGGGAAGATGATGCCCTGCTGAGAGCTGTAGCAAGCTGATTGTCTTTGATCTGGCGAGGTCGAATCCGCCCTTGAATCCACAGCCGAACTCCCCGTCAGGATGAAGGGGCTCGTGGAGTTGATGCTGTCGAAGGCTAAGATAAGCCATGAGCTGATCTTCGACGTTGTCAGCTCCATTTCCTGCGGTTTGAGACATTTAACCTCACCAGCTCGATCTCCTGTGAGGCCAATTCCACCAGCTCGCTGCTGCATGTTTTGCATGCTCAAGAGGAGGTCTTCATCTTCCTGGACTCGGTCCCATTGTAGATACGGCCACTGGCATTGCCCTAAATCACCGAAATTAGTAAGTTTTTGATGAATTTAGGTGGCAAAAAGTGTAAATGGGCTAGTAAATGTAAATTCGACTTAGGTACAACCTAGATTTATTTAGGTTGGTCTTCACTAAGGGCTTTCCTATTTCTCTCTACTTTTTGAGTTGCAAATATTCAAAACTGCATCTAAAACACATCTTTGGAAGAAAGTAATTTGTAAAACATATAGCCACAAGTAGAGACTTGGATAAAAGCACAAGCACACACATGCAGGTATAAGCACACAGGAAAGACAAGCGCAAGCAAAATGACTTGGGTGAAACAGAAAAGCAGACATTTTCTGCTTCAAAATCATGCTCACAAAAATTTACTTATAACATAAAAAACTACTCATAACCAAATTACATTTACGTAAATTTTTACGTAAATTTCCCTTAGTAAAACCAACAATTTACGTAACTTTTATGGTTAGTACAATTACAATTTTGGGTGACTTAGGGTGGTCGTCCAGCGCTTGATGTTGAATCGCCTCCTTGATGAGCTGCTTGCGCAAGGCGCAGTACCCTGTCCAGGACTGTCTGCGTCAGTGCTTAAAACAGGTGGTGCTTCAAGGCTGTCGTGATTCCTGGCCTTGGCTTCGTTCTTCCAATCCGCAGTCTTCTTGAGCAGAATTGGCATCAGTCCTCCCGGTGCAATCTGAAGGAACAGGACGGAGTCGGTCGCCGCTAAGGCCTGGAGTTGCCCTTCCTGCCTCAGAGTGATGGCTGTCAGCATGGAGACGACCTTTCGCAGGTCTGAGATAGTCCCCAGAGCTTTCCTCTTGGTGCATGGGCGTGATGCCGGTCAGGAGTTTCCCACAAACTTTTCTGATCTGCATGTGCATCTCCGCTTCGTCGGGTTGATCGTCAGGGGGCTCTCTACAATCCCATCTGAACCAAGACAGAAGTCACAGCAAGCAGGTCTTGGACATGTGCAGTGAGCAACCAAGTCATGAGCTTGCTTCAAGGTTGTTGGCATGCTGGACATATACACAGGTGATTGTGCATGGCATCCAAGGGCAGATCCTCCACATACACTGCAATGATTGCTGAGCCAGGCACGCCATGGTGCTGAGTTCCAGTGTGCCAGTGCTTGTTGTCGATGATCATCCTCACAAGAGCCACTGGTGCGGGTTTCGTGATTTGAGGGGATTGCATCATTGAGTCGATGTGCCTGGTGCAATACTGCCAATTGGCAATTGGGAGTAGATGACACGCCTGTGACCTCGTTTGCTGGACATATTGCCGCATTTGCAACGTCTCCCTGATGCAGCTGCCTCCTTCACGTAGCTGTCCTCAATGGCCTTGGCCTGGAACTGCTCCTGGCCAGTCGGTGTTTGAGAGTATACTTCTCAAAGGCACCAAACGAAATATAAACACCTAAGTACACATGACGTTCCACAACACGAGTCCAAGAAGTTGTATTAGCACAACGCAAAGCTATCCATTCGGAGCCATGCTGAGAAACAATGAGACATTTGAGATGTCCAACAAGTCGAAGGAGGATGACTGTTTTGCCCATGCTGACCAGGAGGCCATGTTGTTCAAGCACATCCATGATGCATGCAACCTGTTGCAAAATGTTCCGAAACTCTTGTGCACTGTTGATTTCCTATCAAAACACAAGATCGTCAGCGCACGCAATCAGGTGTTGCATCAGCCACTCTTAGGGGAGCAGTGAGATCCTGGCGCCAAGGAATGCTGTCCACTCTATAGGTGATGCTTTGCATCCCTGACTGACTCCTCTGGAGGTGTGCAACCAAGTCTGTAGACCTCGATGCTGGATGGCGTACCTTGCGTCAGACAACCAATAGCATAGCAGCCTTGGCTTCACCCAAAACAGCTTTCCCCACTGGATCAGTGACAGCAGCTAAAGTTAGGTCTGGGATCGGTGGGCTGCTTGACTTGTCGTGTGGGTAGTAGTGTGAGATTAGCATCTTTCCAACACTGCGGGATCTGAGGTCTAGTCGTCCAAGTTGATGCCAGAAATCGATCTAGCCATCCTGCAAGCGGTCCTGCCATCGTTTCCACCAAGATGGAGGAATGGAGTTTGGAGCAACAGCTTTGTTCTCTTTGATCTCAAGAAGTTGTCGTTCAAGTTCTTCCTGTGTGAGAATCTCAGGAGTGTAGTGAGGTCCAAGACTCTCGTTTGTTCAGCCTGAAAGATGGCCTGGAAATGATATCTGTGGGTGGTCGAAGGTCTTGAGCAGGGTCGAGAAGATTCCCCTGAGCATCTCGAAAACGTATCGACTTTCTGCGCAAGCACGATCTGTGACCTCAACAATTCTTGCTTTCCGCGTTGCTTTGCTATGTTGTTGGAGTTGATGGTATAACTGTCGATGTTTGCCATAGTGAAACCAGCTGTGGATAATTTATCCAATCAAGGAGGCAGTACGATTCGGGTTCCTGGCCTCATGGAGATGTTTCCACTTGGTGGCCACAAGGGGGCCACTCTGGTTTTGGCCTGGCTGATCACTATCTGAGACTGCGGAACCAGGCACTGCCAGTTGACCGTCTGATCATGGCATTCCTGTGCAAGCACGCGGGAGGAGCAGTTGGCAAATTTGGAGTGGCCTTGTTTCTCAGTATGCAGCCACACCTTCCAGCCCAGAGGAATGGAACACATCAAAGGTCGATGATCAGGATGTTCCCTATGCGCAAGGAGAGGGAATTGCGGTACACATCTTGCATCAAAGGAAGTTCTGTCAGTCTGAGGTTTTCGCATAAACAGAAAATCAATGTTGCTGCGTCCACCGGGTCCAACATAGCTGAACTCGGTGTCGTGAGCCCGCAGGGATGTCAGTCCATGAACCTGCACCAAGTCCGAAAAGGCCGGTTGATCAGATACTGCAGGTAGGCATTGATAACATCTACCGTTCACTTATATACTCGTATAGCAGCGGGTGTGATGCAATCTGCCAGGTATTATGTCTCTCATGCTGATGTTGTCCAAACTGCAAAAGGTGGTTTTTATCATCGTGAGGAGGCCACCACCCCTTTTGCCTCATCAGCGCGCATAGCCGTGTGATGCCGTGTGTAACCCAAGGTTCTTGGGTGCTCCAGTGTGTTGACTGAATCAAAATGATGTCGAAGTCATGGTTACCCACCAGAGCAACTCAGCATAGTCCCCTCCAGTGGGAGCGCAGCAATTCTAGCAAAAGATCGAAGCTCGTGATTGTCTCCGTCTTGGTGGATCTTGCCAAGTGGAGGTGACAGGGGTGCAAGAGCTCTCATGAGGAACTCCGTGATGAACACGACCACGATAGACAGCGAACCCATCATTTCGTAGCTTGGCAACAAAACGCTTGTAGCTTCTTTTGGCGAACTTGATGCTTTGAATTCGATGTCCCGGAGGACGCTGAAGGCCCTAAACCACATGTTTTGGAAGCCTCTGCCACTTCGACAACACCAGACAACGCCTTCCTGGCAAGGTGATGATGCGAGTGGTGTAGGTACCGAGGATTGGGGTTATTATGGAGAAGACTGGTATCAGTCCGGATGTCACGATAGTTTCACTTCGTACTGTGTAGAGCACAACGAGTGGTCGAACAAGACAGACCGACAAGATGACATTTCGCATGTACATGAGAACGCCACAACCGAACCAACGGTTAATGCTTTCGGCACTTGCACAGAAGGAGTACACAAAGACACAAAGTCAAAACAGACTTCACTTGTATCCTTTTGTGCCCAACACTCTCAACATTCCTTCCTTAGTTCAGTGATTGGTCGAGAGCCGGCGATCCTATGCTAGACACAGGATGCACGCGGTCGATGGGATCGAGACATGCCGTGAACCGTTTGATGCAGGCATGTTCGAAACAGGAACAAAACCCCATTTGGTTCAAGATGGTACCATGTCGGAGTATGTTTACGTTCGTGTGATCACTCAAAGATTGGTCATGTACTTTGCCCGTTCTAGCGGAAGTTCTGTTTCGACCACCATAGACATTCTGCTTGAATGAACCGTGGGGTTGTTGAAGGTTTGTAAAGACATATGCACAATATAAGTACTGTAAGTTATAAGTAGTGTTTAAGCAAGTTACAAGCCAAATGCAACCACTGTATCTTAGATACAAGTGTTATAAACAATCTAGAACATAGACACACTTAGCCTAAATCATCTAAGACTTATGGCACTTAGCCTATATAGTTAACCACTTTAGCTAAATGTGCTAACTGTTTACTTGATAACTGAGCTAAATGGTTAGCTAGGATGTAACCTATTTAGCTGACCTTTTGGCAACATGCTAAAATCGACAATTTAAGTTAAATTTTGTATACAAAAAATTGTAGTTGAACTTGTTAATCTATACAAACAACATTTAAAACACATGTGGCAACTTGCATTATATAGAATAGATTAATAATTGAAACAGTATAGCACTGTGTGGAAGTCCGATGGGTATGGAAGTTATATTGTTTCTGAGCAAGTGATTGATAATTCTTTAACTTGTTGTTGAATACAAACCACGTTGATAAATCAAGACTGTTTGTTAATGTATACAGTATACATGACTGACAATAATGCATGAGTTACACTTGTTTGCCATGTATGCATGATTGGAAATCAACAAACATGTCAAACAAGGTAACACATTGATTGCCTTGTGGTTGCTCAATCCTGTGCAAGTCAAGCCTTGGGCTACAAAAAACATGCGGAAGTCAAGCCTTGGGCTACAAACAGCATGTGTATGTATAGAAGCCAAGCCTTGGGCTCAAACAGCATGTACATGTATAGAAGTCGAGCAAAGAAAATTTGTGTTTGTCTTTTTTTTTTCGGTTTTTGGCCCCCTTTCGCTGTTGATTCATGATGGTTCTAGTTATGTGTGCTCTTACGCAATGCATAGGACCGGCGATAATATTTGACTCAAAGTACATCTTGTGCGATACAAAAGCCGCAGCTCGCCTTCGCTCGCACGCTCTTGTGGGTTTGCTACGTTGTAAGGTTGGGACATGACATCAGTCAAGTCTGCCATGACTGGAGCAGGTGGCTGAGAACCCCTTCTTTGACCAAGATGCTGAGGCTGAGGCGTGGCACCACTGCTTTCGGGCTTCGGCCGCGGCAGGTTTCGGGTTTCGGCCGCTCACCGGTTTTGGGCACCTCAAATTCATGTCATCAGAGCCAAGAAGGCCATACCCACCACATGACCAGACCGGACCAGACCCTGAAAACCCTCAAGATGCTCAAAGGTTTGGGCCCAGTTTGACCGTGGGAAGGCTGCAAAGTGCAGGCGTCAGCTGGAGGAGCTGGCGGAGCTGACCGCCAAAACGGGCGAAGAGGAGAAAATCCCTTTTGTATCTTTTGTAAGAGGAGGAAAAAGGGATGAAGAGTGAATACTGCTAACATCCACCCATGGGAGACACAATTCCTTACATAGGAAGTAGGATTGGGTAGATCCCCAGGCTTTTGTCTGATGATAGACAGATACATAAAACATCCTAAAACAGACTAGATGGTTCCAGGTGCATTGGTTCCATCCACTCAAGAAAAAAGAAACGTGGATCTCCACGCCGCGGCACGACCAAGTCAAGACGCCGAGCCATCAGGTCGATGCTCTCCTGGTGGTTCCTTGGCGAAGTCTTAGGGGCTTCAGTCACCCCCCCCACAAAGTAACATGGAACCTGAGAATCGACCGGTGGCTTCGACCATTTTCCGCATAATTACCAACCAAGTGCCTGTGGGGCTATGTGTCCCCCAGCGGAGGAGTTGGCGGATGTTGAGATCCAGAGTTTATCTCAGGGTGTGGGTGCCACAAACCAGTGCGCGGAATGGGCCACTGTTCTTACGAGAATGGGGAACCCGTGTGGATGAAATATGAGGAGATTTAACCCACCATGCGACACGTTAGCCATTTCAGGACACTCACCGAAACTTTTTGTTTGAGGAAGTTGGAATCGCGGACTTAGGACTGTGTCCTCTCAGCCGGCGTTGGATCGGGGAATGTGAGGCGTTCCAATCATTTGTTCTTGTAGGCTTGTTGCAGTACATCTATTAATGGCATGTCGCAAAAGACGACCATGCCAAATTTGAACGGTTTTGCGCATTTCTGCGTGTGTAGGCATCATAGACAAAGTGCTCATCCTTTCGTGTTCTTGGCCACACCAAATATCAAAGTCTGAGAGTGCGATACAATTATTGCGTGTTGCTGCACCTACGGCAATCTCAGTGTGGGGAGGGTTTGGCACAAAGACTGGGCTAATAGCGATAGCCCCCACCCCAATAGCGATGCAAACTCTTGTTTTTCCCAAAGTCAGTCCAGCCATGTCCAGCCCAACCAACCCAATGTTTGCGAAACCTGCGAGCTTCGGAGAATTGCAAGGGTGCATCATGGCGCCGATCCATACCGTCGTACGTCGTATGATTCATTTGGATTCGTGTGTTTGACAAGCACTTGTGTGTTCTTGATTGGAGACTGAATCGGATGGATGACATCCGGCTTGGAACCAAGGAAGTGGAATGCAAGGCACGGAATTGTTGGAATACTTTTGGTCAATCATAAGTCATCATACGCCATGGAGCACAACAGATTGTCAGAACATGTGAGACAAATGATGCTCCAGACAAGGAGAGAAGGACCGTGGGAGGGAATTGGAAATTGATTCTTGATGGAGCTGTTGCACAGTGGAAAAAAACAAGATACAGTAGTCAGTCTTTGATTTAATACAGATTCGGACTTCAGTAATAGACATATTCATACATATTCCGATTTTATTGCTACAAATTCTCGCTCGGCCCTCAAAACGCTTTGCTCAGTGATTACGGCAGGTTTCAGGTGTCGCAGGGGCTCACGCCACATGTGCTGATTCCAGGCCTTCTCCCAGTACCGAAGCTTGAATTCCAAGCCTCGCAAGTCGAAGCGCTACGGGCACTTGTGCCGCAACCGGCCACATGAGCCAAGTCCGGGCACCCAAAAGATATGTTTTGATATGTGTTGTTCAGGCCAGAAAGAGGGCGAAAGTGAGCGAGATGTCCAATGAAGTTAAGGTTTCTTCGAGTTGTTTGATGTGGTTTGCTCCGTGGCTGGTTTGGATCCAAAGAGGCTGACATTTGGTATGTCATGGCTCATCATGGCTCTTCCAAGGAATGCGTCCTCCAATTACCAATTCCTTGTGGAATCTCCTGGTCCAGTCCAAGTGGAATACGCCTTCCACTTTCCACCAAAAACTAGTACCTACAAGTAATCACAAGCAAATCGATCTGTGTCCAGCCGTATTGCGCGCAACCAGGATTCTACCAACGGATCCATCGACACCTTCGACGACCGCCCACGGATCCCCACTCCGACCGAGGTCTCGATGCGATTCCGGAGCGACCCTTTCGAGACTAAGCGACCCACGGGCGAGGATGGCGGCCAGGCGGTTTCGACGCAGCGATCTCAACGGCAAGGAAGCCAGGAAGATCCCCCAACGATCTGGCCTTGGCCGTGGCTGAAGATGTTGTGTTTGGCACAGATTCGAACATGTCACATTCACAAACTTGGACCCATGGTGTTCCATCCTGCAACCGACTCCAACGCCACCAGACCACCAACAGGACTGGTAGCCGAAGGTTCCAACACAACGCACCCAGAGGTTTTTTTCCGCGAGGAGGCGAGGAAGCCCTAAGGCCCGCATGCTGACATATGCTGACAGTATTTTTGAAATGCTCCCTACCCAGAATTCTCGTGGCCAATGTTGAATGTGACATTTGTGTATATATATATATATGACGTAATTACATTTGCGTGGGGGTGTTCCTTATCAACAAGGAACAGGACGGAACAACCTGTGAAGTTAACCTCTATTGGACCATGCTGCGGGGAGGCTTGCTGGCCATTTGCACCCTAGACAAAGCCGCGCTTTGCACTGTCTTCCGATGTGTTCAGAGTCACTTGGATCACCTATCCGCAAATAAAGGGGATCCAAATGAACATGAAGAGGCAGTGGCTCCCTGCTAGAACAACTCCGCGTAAAGCCTCGTAATCTCAAACGTGCTGCGGGAGAAACCTCAGACCAAAGTATATAAACATGTTTGAACATGTTCAAAATGCTTTGGAATCTCTTTGATCCGTGTGTGATTCTCCATGTACGTCATCTAAGTACCGAGTCTTTGAGCGAGTACCAAGGTTTCACGAGCCAGGGTGCTGGCTTGAAAGTAAGCCCGTCCCGCCCCAAGGGCGCAAAGAAGCCCCTTCGGCCCTGAGTTGTAGCATTCAGGAAAGGCATCCCTTGGTGAACGAAGGAAGGGGCTATCCGCTGATATCCGGAAACAAATCTTTACAAACAACATCTTCCTCATCGCTGAAGGCCACAGATGATTTCAGCAATGATGTCATATGATATCTTATATTTGGATGTGTCAGAGTCTTGATCTCCGAAGGATTTTTGGACATGTTAAACTTGTTGTTGGTTGATCCTCATTCAGGGGCGGACAGGAATGGAGCCCCAGTCACTGTGTTGGATGTTTATTACAATGTTTATGTGAGGGCTCCCAGGGTCCGCAAAAAAGGGGCCTCTTGCATATGTCTGGGCAAAAAAAAAGAGTCAGCCAGTGAGCACCACAACAATTTACTGCAACCATTTCCATGATGAATAGGTGCGACTTCTGAGAATGCTGGTATTTTTTTTGCTGCTTTTTTGATGCCCAGCCACAACAATTGGCAATACATCTCTTAGCCACCCAGACCCGATTTTCAGATTCAGGCGCGCCCAAAAGCCGGAGTTGCAGAGCGTTTGCTGCGTTTGTGGTGGTAAGCGTTTAGTGTGATTTCTGTGCAAGCTGTATTGGAAAGATACAGAAAGGGGGAGAAGATGGCACTCCGCATGCCCTGAAGTAATTGGCTAACCTTCTAAGGATTTCCAAAATTCCAATGTCATCTCTAAGAAGTGGAACAGCTGTTTGACCGGTTGGCATGCCAGTGCGGCCACCGCGACTGCATGCGACTGCTACAGCTCCTCCATGCATTGCGCTACTTTGGGCCTGTGTAAAGACTACATTGCAAGAGATGTGGAAGAGTCTACAGCTTTTGGGAGGTGTAGCAACGTGTAGCATGTTAGCAGGTTCCTTCCCTCCAACAAGACCAATCGGTGAGCTGCTCCTCACAGCATCAGGCATGGCCATGAGAAGCAAAGGCAAGGCAAACACACTGACATCGACTAGCGCTGCAAAGCTTGGTAGCTTTGCGCATGAAGAGATCTGAATCGAGAAATCACAACTTGCCCCACCAACTGTGTTCACTGATCACTTGTAGCCGATTGTAGCCACAACGAAAGTACTGTGCCACTGCAGCCTAATATACGCGACTGAGCTTGCCCAGGCAGATTGCTTTCAGCGTTGCGTACTGGTCGAATTGATGCAACTTCACCAAAGAGAATGAACGATCCTAGTCGTCTGCAACAAGTGCCCCCACCAAAGTCATTAAAATGGAAGCCCCATGTTGGCTGAATCAACATGACTTCTTTAGTATGTTTCAATCTCATGGTCAACTGGTGGCCGAAGACAGCAGCCGACTACAGTTCTGGCGCTATGACTTGGCCGCCGGCGAAACCACGGTGGCGTGTGGCCGTGGCCGCGCTGATGCTGGTCCTTTTCTCTCAGGCGGTGACTCCAGTGGCCTGGAGTGGTCTATTTGGAGAAGACCTAGGACCCAGTCTAGGGCCCTAGGCCCTAGACATATAATTATTGTATATTAATATTTATATATAGACATCTATTTTGGGTGTGCCCCATTACCTGTAACAGTCGGTAGGTAAACAATTGTCACTATTTTGGAGAAAGGCCTTCAATAATATTAACAATCATCATCCACTGTTACAGGGAATGGAATATATCCAATCCCACATCTATTGACCAATGGCCACTCTCTTTTAATGCAATGGCTCTTTTCTACCCACAATCATTGGTAGGTTTCATAGGCATCGAGCTGGTATTCTTCTCCCAAATCCCCGTTGCATCAAATCCACCGATCGACCACCATTTGCCCCATCAATCCCGGCTACCTTTATGTAGTCTTGCATGCAGCAAGAAGCAGGCAGAATAGGGGTGACAGCGGGTGGGCTCAAGACACTGCATTTTCCAAGCAGATCGCCCTACTAGGCCATGTGACACACAGTTGAAGTGGATAGTTCTGGTATCTCATTGCTGATCAGAGGTTGGACCTGCACTGGCATCCAGAGAGAAGCACGTGCGCAGGACTTGGGAAAAATTTGGAAAGGGTTGGTCATTGATGTTTTTGAGGGGCATGTTCTCGAAGTGGAGTCCATTGAGTTGTTCTTGATGAAGTCGTTTCGATCCTTTTAATCTCAGAATGCATCGCATCACTTTGAAGCTTCGACCGGTGCCGATCCATTTGCGGATGGATGGGGTGACTGGAGAGGAAAATGTGCCAGAGGCCTGCAGTGCGGAGTCACTCCACCCCACCTTACAGTGATTCTTGGCACAAGTCCACAAGATTGATCAAGATTGGATTGGCAGAGATGTACTCAGATCACTTGTGGATGCCTACACAGGGGTGACAATGTCCGCCCATTCCGATTCCTACTATTCCCAGTGATTTTTATAAATAGACGCATAGTAAGAGTTACATAAGCTCAGATCCTTGCAAACCATATATGGAATGAAAACTATTCAGAAACTGTCACTCAGAATGGGCTAGACCTTTTAGCATGTTTTCTTTTTGTCCTGCCGACAACAAGATTGCTCTTGTCATGGTGTCAGGCACTTGGTGCATGTGAACTTCTACAAGAGGCTTTCAGCACTGGACTCAGGAGTCGCAATCCAACCTTGTAATTGGAGCCATCCTCTAGGCTCTAGCAGATGGGAGGCTGGTGAATTCAGAAGCCATCAGAAACCAAATACAGAAATGGGTCTGAACCCTGGGAATTCGGATGATTTAACCTGTCACATGAGGTGTGCCCTGACTGATGACAAGTGTTGCAAATCACTTTGATCAAGTGGAGACCCTAGAGGCATCTAGAGGCCCAGAGCGAGGCAACTGCCGACCCGCCGCAAGCCCACATCAAGTGTCACATCCAAGTGTCACCGAACATCTATGTTCCAGCTAGTCTGGACTTAAGGGACATTTTGCAGGACCCTTTGTTCAAATGCATCCCACGCTTCGTGCGTGTCGAAACGTCACACGTTTATCGAGGTGACCTGGTGCAGCGCTGTGGGGGTTCTGGTCCCATGACCTGTGCGCTGGTCCTGGGTGGTGCAGGCGACTGACAATGGACCGAAAAGCCCACCTGGGCAGCCCAAGACTGGTTAAAGTACCCATCGCACCGAAGGATCATCCGCTTTGACCTTGCACAGGCTTTAGAGCTTCATGTCCACAATTGGAGCGACGTGCTGAGCGACGTGCCCAATTTCAGGGATAAGGTGGTTCATGAGCCACGAAAGCCCTTTGGCAAAAGTGACTTGAGCACTTTGTGCAAGATCGGAACCTGAAAGTTCGAGAGCGTTTTCCGTGCACTCGGGAAAGGCAACATAGCATCCCATAAGATCCAACCCCAGCACCTGCTGGGCCAGAACCTGCCTGGGGGTGGACGAGATATGAGAGACGTGGCCACCGGATGTTCTGATCTCGCCAGGTGGGACACTCTTATGGATCCCAGGCTCTCCCCGGATCGAGGCACGATTCATAGGGGTTCTGGACCTTTTTGGGGTGCGAAGACGGAGCGGGCAAACTTGGAGTTGTACAGTGGGCAGTCGGTGCTGTTGGGGGTTCAGGCCTTTCAGTGGGGACCCTCATGACATGCAAATGACATGGCTGTAAAGCCTGCTGGGGCATGAGTTACTCAACAGAAGGTTCACAAAGATTCGCAAGTTCATGCAAGTTCCATATAAAGACTCTCGGGTCTTCGAAGTGGAAAGCTCCTGTGCCTCTTGGAGGTCTTGACCTGTTTTCTTAAGTCCTCAACAGTGTGCTCTGAATTCACCACGTTGAGTTGCTTCTTTGAGTTCATAGATTGGCCCCAATCCAACCCAATCCAACATTCTCGGTGGGCACATTGCGGCCCGGTGGCCCCCTCCAGCCACATAAGTAGCCGCAGCCCGGAACAAGCACAGTGAGTTATCCTAAAATTTAGGAAGGATCCTTTTGGGCCACCAAATCAGACCATGTGGGAAGCACTTCAGGCCCTTCAGCACCATTCAGCACCCAATCAGAGACAGGTCTCCGGCGTGGAGCTTTCTGGCTGGAAGGCTCCCTTGGCCGGCGCGGCCTTTGGCCTCTATTCGGCACAGCTGCCCCAAGGTCGCTCGCTGGGCAGTCCTTGATCCAAATTGGACGAGGAACGAAGCGTCAAAAAGGCCGCTAGCTGTCAGACTCACTAACAGAATATGGAGCCGAAGCCTTCCAATTCCCCAAATGTGAGGCTCGAAGAGTTGGTGCAGGAGACTAGTAGCTTCTTGTTCCTAGTAGTATGGCCAGGAGCCCCTAGTAGCGTCCTTGCTCCTAGCAGCGATGCCAGGAGCCCCTAGTAGTTTCTTGTTCCTAGACAACTTGTTACTACTAGTAAGGCACTTGTTACTAGAAGCGATGCACTTGTTCCTAATAGCTTCCTTGTTCCTAGACGTCATCCAATTAAGCAAGTTGGACTTCCAGGACGTCAGCATTGGTCACCACTCCCAGGTGCTGCCCTCAGCGACCGCTACCGACAACTTTGCATTTGGCTGGCCGATCGGTGCCAGCTAGCCAGGGGGGAAAAGGCTGCTGAAGCGCGGGACTCTCAGGGTTCATGTGATGAGGTTGCAAGGGGCGACCGGTTTGAACCAAACGGAGGACTTGCGCCTATCTTGTGGTTGGAAGCCTGAAACAGGCATAGAGTGTGGGGTGAGCTAGCCCTTTGGGACTTCCACATGAACACTCTTGACTTAGAAGAGGTTTTTGGGATTGTTGACCGTAGAACATTTGGCTCATACTGAATACGACTGAAGGCAGAAATTCACAACAGCAGATTCACATTGGAATGCGGTTTCGAGCGGCAAGTGGGCACAATCATAAAGCATCATAAAGCACCATCAGATAATATAAACATATAATCAAGGCGTGAAAAAACCAGGTGCAGGATTGACTCAGGCTTCACCCCGCACCAAGACTACAGTAGCCTTCGTAAGACTGCAGTCAATACCGGTAGACCACTTTGCAGCAACTGCAGCGTGTTCCGCATGTCAGTCACCTCGGCCTTGTCTCAGATTCAATCTTGCAGCCTTTCCTCCAGAAGATGGGTGCGCAATGCGGATGGTTGCTTAGTTTTGCTTCATCACACCAGCGGATGGGCCTTTGGTGACGCAGAGCAAAGCGAGCAAAGCGAGCAAAGCTCTCAAGCTGATGGGCCGCATTTCGAAACACCTCAGCCTAGCCTGCGAGGCGGGGGCGGTGTACCGACTCCTGCTTTCAGGGGTCTCAAAGTCAGAGCTTGAGATTCAGAAAGAGTTGCTGACAGCAGCCTTCGGCCATGATCCTCCAGAAGCTTGGAGAAAGCCAACCAGAGGAGTGTTTAGCTCAGTGGCGTTTAGCTGGCTGTTTACTTTTGAGGGGGGGATTCCTAGCCCAAGGAAGCCTCAATCCAACATAATGTTTCCAAGTGATCCCAACCTATTATAGACGAATTCCACGTCCATCTGAAAGCCACCGAGGACGCGGGGAACTTTCATCCAAAGGCCACGGCACGGATCGCCGGAGCAGCTGCGGCTCGGAGGCAAGAGCTGGGAGCCGTGAATGCCTCCACTGCCTTGCATTTGCTGGCACAAGCGCGAAAGCCAGGGGAGGTTTGCGGCATAGCCCCTGATCTCATCATCACGGTGGTCGGAGGCAGGAGATTTTTGTCCTGTCAAGTGGGCAAGCTTGAGTCAGCATCACCGCATCACCAGATGTTTAGTGAGTTCACGATTTACCACAACTTCTGAGCGGGGCAGCCATTGGGCATCTAGAGATATAACTGAGATAACATGCAAAAACACATGAGAAAACCATTCTCCTCACTGACTAATGCATCACCCCTGCGAAACCGAAAGTCACCACTGACCTTGGTTTCACCACTGGAGGGCTGTGCGCCAGTGTTTCCTCCCTCCGGTCCAGGTGCAGCACAACCCCGAGATCTGGCGATCGCCAGCTGGGCAGCCGCGCGCCTCAGCGTGGACGCCTTTAAGGCCGACGCGGGTCACGCAGAGGCGCTGCAAGCACTGCAGGAGGCGGTGAAGGCATCCTGTGGAGAGATGGAAAGCCAGGACGGAGCTCAGCAAGTGAAGTCGAACTTGGGAGCCGAACTTGGGTTTCATAGGAACTAGAAGCTACTAGGTGGAGGCCATCGCTATTAGGTTGAAGGCCATTGCTACAAACGTAACAAGGATTGGGTTTCAGATGCGTAGCTTCAGATTTCACTGCAGCCAGGCACTTGTACAGAACAGCCCTGTTTGTGGTCTGGTTCTCATGGCAGGTTAATATAGTTTAATGGTGGCGCACGTGCCTGCGGTGCGCAATGCCCGAATCACGTTTCGGCCTTTTTTACATGTTCTCAAATACAGTACTTTGGATAAGCATCAGAATCAGCAGAAATATGCAGAAATAGATTCAAAGCTCTTCCAGGAATTGAATTCTTTCATGCACCCAGGATGTGGCAAATGTTGCTTGGGCGTTTGCAAGCATGCAGGCGAGTGGGTGGTGGTGGGGTCTTGAAAACCACCTCTGAGAATTGGCTGTGTTTGCTTCTTGCTGTGACCTTTGCCGAGGTAGAGGCCTCCCAAGGCATCCTTTGGCATCTGGCGGAGCATTCCACATCTCGCATCTCAGCGTTTAGTCCAAGGCCGCTGGATTGGGCCCAGGTACAAGTCATTTAGCATTATAGATTAGATGATGCTTGAGATGATGTACTAAAAGAGTAGCACTTTCAGCATCATGAACAGGTTGGGGCAGCATTTAATGGAAGGGATCGATATGACCTCCATGCATGGCATTTAAGAAGCAGAGTAGTTAGTCATGATGAACGTGCCTGCCCTTGCATGTATTACAAAGGTTTCCACCCATGAAGCAAGATACATCATTATAGTCCGAATTGCAAATTTTGGCGTTCAGATGCCTTCAGTCAGTAGACCATCGCTCACCGCCCACACACACCATCATCGAAGCCCCTGGATTTGGAATGGGAGGCACCTGGCAATCCTTACTTGGGCCTTGGCCAAGACAAAGCTTCGGCATGAGACCTTGATGAAGAGCGTGGCAGAAGCGTTTGAAAGCTCACAGGGCGCAGAGTGGATGCCACAGGACAGGGAAACCACAAGAAGTCAAACTTTACACAATGCGTAGACAAATAAATGCTTAATAAACATAATCAACTAAATTTCGCAATGAATCATAAGTGTGGCTCACATGACAAGACATGCAAGCCATTCACTATGGTCGCAGTTTGGAGAGATACACTTGACAAGACACCGCAGAAGAGGGTATTCAATGCATGTTCTTCATCATCCTTTGTGAACGTGCCTTCGCTCATTACAGGATCTCTCGAACTTCATTTGGGCCTCAGCTGTCCTTCGTTGCGACTCCCCTCTGGAGCAGATGGCCTCCCGTGCAGCCGCGCTGCGGTGGGAGAAGTTTCGGCCCCAGGACCCGCCAGTGATCGGACGCGACGAACGGGGCGCGTTCGCGTGGCCATCGCTACGAACGGGGCGCGAGGTTCGAGGACCCTACTCGTAGCTCCAAAGGCTCCAAAGCTGTCATATTCCTTGAAGCCTGACTTACAGACACCTGAGGAGTGTCCCCGCAGAACAGGTCGATGATGTGCAATACCAAGATCGTGTTGAGGTTGTGGAAAGAAAGACCACGAAAGCAACAGCAATGATTATGGCGCAGCACGTTTTCAATGATGTCCGGAATGTTTCAACTTTCAACCCTTGAGGGCGCAGCAGTAGTCGTATCTCACGGTCTCCGCTCGTTGCACATGTACTATCATGCACTACTTCTCGGTAAGAGGTTCATGTCACAGAGTCAGTGTTAAAGGATTCTTTTTGCCCCATGTGGGCATGCCACCTTCCATTCCGCAAACATAGCAACCGAGTGCATATCAAACCCTGTCTCCGCATGAGCCAATACCATCATCTCATGCTTGGTCCAAACCCAGGCACTGGATCCCTCCAGCGTCTCTTGGATGTACTGACCCCTGCACGCGTCCAGGAGCTGTCGATCGCCATGTGGGCGGCCTACTCCCTTGGTGTGGCAGAGCGCAAGGGCTCGGCACAACGTGCCGTGAAGCGAATGCTGCAGCATGGGGCCCGGGAGATTCGGGTGAGGCTCGCGAAGGACGGAGATGAAAAAGAGAGGGCGAGAAGTAGGTGAGGATGGGTGAGGGTGCAAGAGTGCAAGATGTATACTATATAAAATATATATGTGTGTGTCAAGATCTCAGTGGCAAGAGTGACGGAAATGGTTGGTGTCCAAAGTCTTATTTGCGTAAATGTCTTAATGTCTTTAGTACGTGTGATTGTGTGCTTGTTCTGGGGTTTTGGATATTCACCTGATAAACTGGGACGGCAGGACGTGCTTGCAACGGCGTGGTTCTTGCAACAAAAAGACCGGTTGCCCAGGCATGTAATAGGCGTGGAATAAATAGGACCAGTTTCATCAAGTTCCCTTTGCGTGGTTGGTTGGATGATCTCTTTTCTACATGATCTAAAGGATGGCCACAATATGATGCCCAGACCAGGCTCGTCTTAGGGGAAGAGAAATGGGGGCCTCATGATATCGACCAGTGTCGTGACCACCACCAACAACAGCAACAACAACAACAACACCAACACCAACACCAACAGTACCAACAACAACACCAACATCAACACCAACAACAACACCAACAGCAACACCAACAGCAACAACAACAGCAACCAACCAACCCGGGCACCTTATCGGGGGAACCTTTGCCAGGACTTTGAGCCGCTGCACTTGATGAATGCTGCCTGGGCCTTGGCACGCTGGCAACGGCATTGTCGCTTGGCAGGGCTGCCGCAGGCGAGCCGGTGGGATGTTTGGTGCTGGTGGGAAGATGCTGTTTCAATAGTGCAATGGGAAAACGGATAGAACGGGATCACTTTGGCTGGATCAGGGCTATGGGGGCGCAGAAGTAACACGAAACTCAATGTAAAACACATGGATGCAACACAATACAAACATGCACAAACAGTTTAACAAAACAAAGCGCGCACTGAGCATTCATCATGGCAATATCGCCCGATCAGCAAAAACCGCACTGCGGGGTCTCTGTGAGAATCGCCATTTTGTTTCTTGGGGTTGCTTGCCAACCCCCAACCAAGCCAATAATGGATCAGCACTCACGGCTTGCGCGACTTGCGCAACAGTAGCACAGAACTTAGGCAATAAATGAGTCGAGATTCAAGGTGGCCTGGTACACGAACACCTTTTTCAGGACTTTTTTGAGAACCTCAGGCGCCCCAAGACTTGTGCAATCCTTTGTTCATCCCCTCAATGTTAGGCTCTTTCGACCACAAAGGCCGTGCTTTAAGAATTGATGTTCACCTTTATGCCATTGCTTCACAGCAACTCCTTCCAAAGCTTCATAGTGGTCAGAATCCAAACCCACCACCCCATCCGCTCTCAAAGAAGCACATCAAACATCCACATTCTGGGCAGACTTATTCTGGTTTCCTCCTCATTCTGGGCAGAGGAGTGCAAAGACTACGTTTGCCGCCCAGCTTTGCGGATCTTGGCCGCGGAGGCGGCCAAGGACTTCAGTCGCTTCGGCGCGCGGGAGCTTTCACGGCTGATGTGGGCAGTGGCAAGTCAGTCCTGCTGCTGGGCGGAAGACTGCACGATGTTGGATATGTATTCAAATATATTCAAATGTATTTAAGAATGTATTTAAAAATGTATTCAAATGTGTGTTTTTTTGACATATTGACATATACATGTCTAATGTTACATTGTTTATCCCCATGGAGCCACGTGTTGGGCCCAATGAAAGGAGTTGCGCCATTTTCAGCAGTTGAAGTCGAGGAGGCTGTCTTGAGGATGGACGGCCCAGGGGTTGGGACGGATCAACACGACACATCAAGATGCTTGACTTGAAGCTTCTAGTAGCGTCCTTGCTCCTAGTAGTACGGCCAGGAGCCCCTAGTAGGGTCCTTGCTCCTATATGGGGGATCCTCATCCGATCACCATGACAACTTCACATTTTTTTGGGAGGCTATGATCCTCTTCCATGGCTCAACGGTGCCCAGGCCTGAGGCTGCGAGAGATGGGGCCACCCCTGCGCGACTATGTGAGGCACCGGCTTTGGGGTGGGAGAACCCGGGTCAAGAACAGTCCACATGTCTAGGGACATATGGGATGGGCCAAAAAGGGCTGTTCAACGTCTCTAGGATCTTTCCCTTGCCCTCACGAGACTTCATCCTCATCATCCTCTTCAGTCAATCCGAAAGCGGCCTCCACGTTTTGGTTCAATTAGGACTTAAGATGCAAACTTCTAGACCACCAGCCTGGGAGTTTCTCCTTGTTTGGGGGGGGACCTCCATTTTGGGGAGGCCGCTCTTGGAATCCAACAGAATCCGTCCCAGTGGCACTGCCATCAACACCGTTCTCGGCACGCCGCGAGTTCGGCACCGAGAACACGGCAGGTCATCACAACTTCAGGCGTTTGACCCTGATGACCTCGTGAGTTTGGCCACTGGGCACCGTTGGGATGCGGTGATCGTTTTGGGCCAACAGCGGTTGGGAAAGGCCAGGCATGTAAACACATCTCAACACCCATCGTCACTCGGAAAAATATATTTCCCTGGAAAGTTATTCGTTCTTTCTTTTTCTTTCTTTCTTTCTTTCTTTCTTTCTTTCTTTCTCTCTCTCTCTCTCTTCCTTCTGCACGCATGCCACCACGGAAAAAATCCCACCATACATTGTTTCGGCATTTTGCGGCAGTGTAGACCTCGGACTCTTATATGTGGTGCTTTGATGTTTCCTGGGAGGCCCCCTAACCATGATAGAATGAATTGTTGCAAAATCCTGTGGCAACCCCAGGTATAGTCTAAGAAGAAATGCGAAAGCGATCATAAATCCTTAATCAATCTTAATCATATTGACAATGTCGGCCAGGAGAAGGAATGATTGATTCCTAAGATTATCAATCCCAATTGTAAGGTCCCCCACAAAGAGCCTAGGACACTTAGGCACGTGGAATTCAAAGACTTTTTCTTCAGCTCAGGCCACTTCGCTCTCCTGGATGCTGGAGCGCTTGGTTTGGGAGCTTCCTGCGCGCCGCACGCACTCCCGGGTGAGTCAGGAGCTCAGGGGTGCAGATGAGGAGACCAAGTACAGATGATTGGCTGATCTGAGTCAAGGAGTCTTTGGGCTGTTGCCAAAACATACCAAAACCAAGCCAACAGCCCAAAGTTGGTTTTGAGTTGATGTTAAGTCTTCCCCCACGTGTTGCGTTGTCTTGTCGATTGTCCCATGTTTGAGTGTTCACTCTCAAGACACTCCAGATAGGGCAAGCTCTCACATTGACAAGGGCATACTGAGCTTATAGCCCCCCAGTCTGACAATACTCTTGAGAATTTGCTTGGGTCAGTGGTGATGTTATGAGATGATGTTGATGGAACTGAGGCCGGCAAGCAGTAGTGTGTGTTTTTTGCTTCCACTCCCGGACCTCAGGGTGACCATTTCCACTTTCTGGCAGCTCCCGCAATGAGGTGGGCCCATTCCTGGAGGCTCACCTCAACGTCCGCCGCCACCGAGTAGAAAGAGATGCCAAAGCTGGCTCAAGACACGGCTGGTTGGATTTTCGACCATCTTGGAAGGTTAAGGGGTCATCAACCCTCCAAGAGAAATATCGAGAGGTGAGGCGCATGAGATCCATCCTGAGTCACTGAGCTGTTTTTTTGGGGGAACCTGCACTTGTGCAAACTGAGAGAGTCATCACTTTGGTTATTTTTTGTACCTATGATGTCTACAAAGGTGTGGATAGTTGCGCCTCGTTGTGCCTGAGGGTTCTGCACCGGGCTTCGCATGAAATGAGCCATTTTGCTCCCAGAGGAGTCGGGGGGTGCCCACCGAACTGGACGCCATGGACGCGCTGGCCTTTGTGGGACCGAGCTGCTGAGCTCTCCGTAGATGGCACCACCTGTATGGCATTCGGAAACATTGGGTGATTGTTCCAACACCGACACCTCTTGTTGTTAAAAAACGACCAAGGAAATATGTAGTTGTTATATATAGATAGTGCATGCGTTGCCTAGTAACTAGTATGACCCCAACAGCGCCTAAGGCTTACCACAGCAGCAGTTGCTGCCATCGGCACCACACATTCGGGGAAGCCAGGCACCTTCGCCTCAGCCGTGGCATGCTCAGCATAATCGAAACTAAACAACAAAATACAACATATTCACTGCAGAATCACAAGAGTAACAAAAACGGAGAGCTTTTCTTCATCCGGCTCGTTGGGCCTTCAAATTCGATTCTCGTGCTTAACCAAAAGCTTTTGGCGAATGCGTGGCATGAAGCTTTGGCGGACCCATGACGCTCACAAGCTGACATGGGGCCGGCCTTACCACTAGTGTCAGTTCTTGTTGAATTGTTCACTGAAAAAATGCCTTCGCCGTTGATCCTTGGCTTTGGACGGCGATTTCGCCGGACTTGTTGATGCCTACGACGCTTCTCCACATCCATCCGTCTCCGAGGTCCAGCGGTCTCATTCCCTTGGCCTCTGCGGCCACTGTGTTCGTGGCTGCAAGGATGAGGACCCGCCAGGCTTAAACGATGGTATTCAATCTGAGGAAATCAGCCGTACCACTTTGGATATACATAAGCATTATATATTAATATATATATATATGTGTGTGTATTGTTTGACAGCCGAGTCTCTGACAATCCGTGTGTATATATATATATATACATACATATATATATATATAATATCTGTATATAAACGAACTATAAACATATTTACAGTTTATATACACATATGTGTGATTCTGTGTGTGTGCAGAATTCATGTGGATCTTTCTGAAGGAGTCACATCCTTGTGACAGGTGAAGACGGTGATGTATGAGAGCCAAAGTAACGTCGCTGCTGAGCCATATGGAGCTGCATTGGTCGGGATATGGGTATGATGTATGTCAGAAACAGGCAACATACATACAGTGGTTTCAGAGTAGATTGTGCAATCCCCAAAAGGCGGTTTATATGGACCCCCTTTTACAAAACATCTTTGGTTTGTGGCATCTATCCTGAAACCACTGTAGAGAAGGACATCTCGAGATGTTGCTTTGGGTTTGGGATGCCTGAGGGGGTACTAGGTAGATAGGGTGGAGGGATGTGCGTTAGTTCACAAACGTTCTTGTTTCGTGACAGAATTTTCGCTCTTTCCTTGATTTCGCCCGGCATTCGCTTTTCTTCCCAAGGTCCGAGGGTTGCTGGGAAACATGGATGTTCCCATCAGGCATCCTGTTCATCAGGCATCCTGTTCATGCATGGAGTTAATACTGTTCAGTATCCTGTTCAGGCACCGATGTTTTGACTTTTTGGACTTAATTTGTTCATCGGCATGGTTGGACCCATCTTGGAGCACATATTCATTGCCAGTCCTGAGGGCTGAGCTGGGCGATTTGATGCACAGGTGCACCAGATTCATGCTATACTAATTTGTGTATATGTCTTGCTTGTTCCCGCCTTGTTCCATCAATTGTGGCACCCAAGAGTGCCCGCGGGTTTCAAGGAGACAACTGGCAAGTACACAAAGCTCGTGCAAGAGGATCGGATGATCACCGTTGAGGCGCCCGCCGCGGGCGGACTCGTCGGGATCCCAGTCCGGCTTCGCACGGACTGGTCACGGTCGGACGGCGAAAGGAGTCCAACTTGCGCTACGCTGGCGCTGCTCTCATCCTGCTCATTGGCATCTACAAGCAGCTCGGCTGACGTGATGCACAAAGAAAAAACACATGTGTTCGTGTGTGTGTGTGTGTGCCTACAGTGGCCTCCGCACCACTGGACAAGTCAACATCCCCTGGCCCTTATCGCAAAAAGAAAACAGATAAAGAAAACAGGTATGTGGGCATGATGTCTGCTGGGGTCTTCAACTACACCTCCATCGCCGCCGACGCTGCGGCTGCTTGGGCGGTCTTCGAGTCAGGCCGCCAATCTCTCTGAGGCCGTGGGGGTTGGGCGCAGGAACTCGTGTTATGTCATATGTCCAGGTCCTCCTTGAAACTTTCCCTGACCACTGCGATTTGGATTTCCTCTTGGCTGAAGGAGTGGTTGTGGGGTAAGGAATGTTGAGTTATTTTCATTTTGGTGGAAGGTTATAGAAACAACTAGACAGAAAATGGACCTCGATCTCCTTATTTGCACATTCAGTTTCATTCAGGTGCCTTTGGCTGCGTTTCTGATGCTGTTCCAAATGAGTTTGGTTTAAACGAGCAAAGTCAAAGGTGTTTAAGTGGATTTGATGGGCAAATATACCCCTTTGTCGAACTCAGTTCTACTATGAAATGTTCTTACACCCTCATTCCACCACCGCCGCCACTTCCTCAAAAAACAGTTTCCTAGCTCTTCAGGATGCGTGCTCGCCTTACGCTGGAATCTGGATAAACCGTTCTCAATGACTCAGCCACCTGCGGAGTACAAAGGCTTTCTGAGCAAGACGCTTGGAGGATTCAACGTGAAAATTTCCCGAGTCTTTGAAAGGTTATCCCGAGTCAAGCGCTCGATTTTGTTGTACAAGCTGTAGTTTTTGGACAACAACTGCGAAAAGAGACGGGACATCAACAGCACAGCAAAGGGGAGAGCAGTTATTTTTGTTGAACCACTTAAGTATGGAGCTGATTTTTTTTGTGGATGCGTCATTGGACCCGTCCAAGATGCACTCAAGTACATGCCATCACAGGCTCGCGCACATCCCGGCCGACGTCGCTGAAGGGACATTGTTCAGTCAAACAGTTGAGGGCATAGGGGTTCGGAGCTGAAAACTCGATAATCTTATATAACATATTTTAACTCACGTTAAGGGCATAGGGGTCCGCAAGATTTCTTCACTTTGGGATTAGGCCACCTTTAGGTCACGAATCCCCAGGCCCAAAAGAACACATTCATAACGTCACATGGGGGTGCCCACGTGGTGAAAGCGAGGAAGAGGCTGCAGGCGCTGCAGCTGGGTGGCCCTTCCGCGCTGGTGGGCGCTTTGGTTGCCACGGTGGCGGCTGCAGTGAACGGAGAGCTGGCAGCCGTGGCGGGGACCAAGCGGGGTTGGAGAGGTGATGGATGGGGTTTACTGGGGTGATAGATAGCCAAGTGTAGTGGTGAGAGCATGAACTGATGTTGTTTGCAGTTGCTGTCATGTTGTAATGATGTCATCATGTACGGTATTTGAAGAAAACTATGCATGGCTCGGCTAGACTTGAGACCGGCCGTGTTCCAATGAGAAGCACGTGAGAAATGATGATTGTATAGGAAGGGTAGGAGGGGTCTCCCTTTATGTGCTGATAGCATCCGATAGCGAGGGTTGATGGGATTTGATGGGTACAGTAGACATCCATGTGGTCGAGGGCAAAACATTAGGATAGCTGCAGAGAAAGATGGGAACGCGACCATGGTATTCTCAATGGCTTCTGTGAGGGAGAGCTAGCATGCAGCCACACAGCGTGAGCTAGCCAGCCAAGCCGAATCGGCGTTTCGGCAGGTTCCGACACTTCAAGGTTGCGGAGCCATTGGCCTCATCTCAGTCGTTATCGCTCAGGTCGTGAAACGACTTGAAAAATAGAGCCATCCGGGTGGGTTGTGTCACATGTGTATGCTTCTATTTGTTCGGTGAAGGTAACAGGTTCAGAGGACCAATGGCAGATTCTGGCGGTTGGTGTTCGCCCGTCAACACAGCCAGAGCTCGGAGGATGTCGGATGTGCAACACATCGCAATAACACAGTTTTACAACCAATTTTCGGGCTTCCGGAGCGTGTCTCCAGGCCCTTCTTTCGAGGCGGGCCCCAAAACACGAGTCGCAGCTTCTCTCAAACAAGAAAGGTTTATATTAAAGTTTGCACTCCTACTGTTTACGCCCAGTGCTTCCCTTTGGCATCAGTTTTGATGATGTGAGTCTCTGGTGGTTGTGACCAATTCGCAGTCAGGAATAATGCAAGCACCGTTTCAGGTAGATACGGATACTGGCTTTTTGCAATGGTGGATAGGCACCCAGCAAAAAGTGGCAGCACACAACCCCCTTTGTAGGGGCAGAGTGGTCGAGAGGGTGAAGGTAGTTTTAAGATTACATTGCTGCTGTGGCCTCTTGGGGCCCTGGCGCCAAAGCCGGCTCAGCGGGCTCGCTCAAAGCTTGGCCCTGGATATGTGATGCGGCCCAGGGAATCGTTCCCTCAGCCAGCGGAAGAGTCCAGGTTGAGAGTTTGAGAAGTCAAAGGCCGCAAAACTTCTTGTGCATCAACTCGGCAGCAGGTTTGAGATGGAGCGTGGGAGACCTGTTTGTGTTGTGAAGTATTTGTTTCAGCTTCGGACCTGAGGATTGCAAGTGGCCACCTGTCTAGTGAGCATATCATGGCGGTGTGAGAGGTTTTGACACACTTCTCGCAGCCGGGCTCGAATGGGCCCGGCATTAGCTTGTCATGGATGGGTCCACAGGCAAGGACAGGAGGGTAAGTTGTGACAAGCATGTTTCCTTCACTCATTTATCATGTGAATCTCAGCGGCACCCTTGAGAAAGCACTTGTACTTGATCCTGTTGGTTGGAGACCTTTCAACAAACACAAGTGTGTTCCGTAGTATTGGAATGTAAGATGGGCCTTTAATTGAGGTCAGAAGTGTGCTAGGTTGAGAAGCCAGAGCACTGAAGGGATGAATGTGGGTGGAAGTCCCCCCCTTTGAGCAGATGTCCAGATCTGACTGCAGGGAGCTTCATCGTTTGCATGTTTGATGTGAAAAAAGGTGCATGCTTCCACAAAGTTCCAAATTGAACGGATCTCGAGAGGTTGTGCTGTGGGCTTTTACAAGCTGCTTGAAGCATGGCTGCCCAACCGCTCGCCAGTGCAAGAGGAGCAGCTTGAGCTTGCAATTGGAAGAGTTGGGGGGAGCATTCCACCCTCCTGAAGATCTCACAGAAACATACAGAAACCTTTTTGCAAATTTGGCAGGAAAGTCCATCGTTTGCAGATGTTTGCAGGTGCTGCATGTTTCTAAGGCCGTTTAGCTCTACCTCCCCGCAAACAAAAGTAAAAAGTGAGTGAGCTTCATTGTGTTTTGCTTTCCCATTCTTGAGATGTCTTGAGCCACAGGAAAGAAGGAAAGAACCAGTATTCCGTCGATCCCAGGTTTCCTCAAGTTTGCAAGATCGCATCCTTACTGGAGCCCGAGCTCTATATGGCTCAGGCAGGTTCTGGCTTAGCGGTTCGATCGGGACACCGAAACACGTGCGATCGCCTTTTGTTTAGCCGGCCTCTGGCTTGTAACAGTTGGTGCCCACAGGCCCGCACGCCAGACCTGTGTGAGCCAGGCAGTAAGGGCTCATCAGCTCAAAGAGTTGCACAAGTCGACCAACGCAAGCTGTGAGCAGGCCAATTCGTTGGGCCAATTCGTGCTCCGACCTCACACTATAGCGATGGCGTGCGTGGGCGAGGGCGATGGCCGCGAACGTTGTGAATGTGTGATACGTGTGGTAGCACTTGAATCTCAGAAGCATAGGAGCTGCCGATGTGAAGATGGACTGCATGAACCAGATGAACCTGTGAATTGTGCGAATTTTGTAAGAAGAACTTGCGGTACGCAACAGGCTCCCTACCAGCACAGCTTTTGTCCAGTCTTTTGTTCATTTTGATATATTTTGATTGTCCCAGCTGTCAGCACTTGGAGGTTTTGCCAACGAGTGGTAGGCAGCATAATCCGGATGCTCAGACGCACTTGGTGCAGCCATTCCCACTTAGACGGGTAGATATCCGTAACATGTTTGGTGTTAAAGCACCGGGAAGATATTCCAACATGTCAAACTGTGGTTCCTAACACTCAAACAGTTTCAAAAAGGAACTGAAACGGAATGAAAACATGAAGAACATTGAAAACAAAACACCTTTACAAGCACACTTTTGATCTTGGAGTTGGATCAATCCCACACTCTGCATCCAACATCCTCGTCTACCAGGCCGACTTCGACACTGGAGACCTGGTGGTCTTAGGCGAGGTGCCTGGCTCGGCCTCCGGCGCGGCCGCGGTGGTGTGTGAGATGACGCCCTTGGACTGCCGCGTGGCGGTGCTCGACCCCTCGCGGAGCTCCAAGGTGGCAGAGACGCCCAGCTGCACGGGCCGCGGGGCTGACGCGGCTGAAGTGGCCGGGGGGTGAATGGCGATGGAACCTAGGAAGTAGATAGGAAAGGAGATCCCCTCCAAAAAGGTGTTGGAAATTTCCTGGAAATGGTTCTATTTACACACCAGCAGTTCAGCAGTTCCAACGAAGGGTGTAGGAGGATAGGGTGCCCAAGTGGGTGCCCAATATCCGCTCACTTCGGGACTAAAGCCCATTCCTTTGACCCATGTCACGTCAGAAGCATCCAAGTCCTGCCCCTAGAATCAAATTGCAAGTTGTTTAGCCTCACCACCAGTCAACAAGGAAGCCCGGTTGCAGTCCCAAGTGAGATGCTTTTGTTGTGGATGCGGATCCCAGATTTTTCCTGTATGTGTTAATTATATACATCCTCTTGATGAGACTAGTAGCGTCCTTGCTGCTAGTAGCGATGCCTTTGTTGCGTTCGTAGCTTCGCAAGGCCAGGAGCTACGTTCGTCGGGTCCTTGCTAATGATTCATTGTGGGCCCATCCCTGGGCTGGTTCCTTCATGTTCCTTCGTCCGAGGACCTACGTCAAGTCCTCGGACCTGCGTTTGATCCACCGCGACTGGCGTATCGGCCGGCGCCACATCATTGGCGGTTTGCAGTCCTCACGGATGAAGCACCTGAATGGGCTCAGTGCCAGCGTGAGGGAACACCGAAGATATGGGCACCCCTGCTTCGTTCCCAAGCCGGAGCGGTGACAGTTGGGTGACAGTCGGCTGGCCAGTCCTGCAGTTGTGCTTCGAAAACAGGGTCTCGAGTTGAAATAGGTGGGCATGGAATGGTAAAGGTGTCTGGAACATGTTGGAAAAAGGTGAGGAAAGAAGCCAGATGATCGGTTTCCCATGGCTTGCCAATGTTCTTCCTGGCTTTCCACCACTGCACGCCCCAAAACACTGCCCTCGTCACCCATGTCACTTGGCCCTTCGGGTCTATAGTCTATCGCAGGAGTCCGACGATCAGAAGTTACGCCTTTGCGTCCGCTGGGAGCACGAGGGCGCCAGTGGCGCATTGCTGCTAGAGCCTCGCTTCCTCACCCCCTGTGTAGCCTGGCCATGGTGGTTTTTTGTATGTTTTTGTGAGTGCATATCTTAATACGGAGATGGCCCAACCAATGGGTTTTGATCATTTTTGATCTAGTTTCCTTCTTCCAGGGGGTTCAAACCCAGGTCGAGAGGCCCGAGGAGGAGGAGGACAAGACCTTGCTGACAGCGAAAAGACGCCTTCACCTCCAGGCAGTCGAGTTTGACCTGACTCGGGCGGATGTGGGATGCTTTTTCTTAAGGAAAGGATGAAGCAATGGCAGGACCTGCCGGTTTGCGGGGGTGATGGCCTCAACTGTGAAGGGTGAGCAATTTTGGAATTCCAGGGGCCAATGCATAAAGAACATTAAAGAACCACATTGCTCCATTCTGATAGGAGAGGCATGTCATTGTTTGTTCGTTGTGATTGTAGTGATAGATGTGACTCTGCACCACTTTGCACGACGAAATCCATTCTTCCCAGGCAGCTGCGACCGCAGCACCTTCAAAACTTCCAGAAGCTCTTGAAGCACTTAAGACGCAGCCGCAGACACAGCCGCAGCCGCAGCCATTGCAAGCCACCAGCGTCGCACCCATCGAGGGCGCGATCGATGAAGTGGAGCCGAGGATTTGTCACGTCTCCAATGCGCCTGGGGCTGTGAATCCAGGAGTGGGGATGAGGTGGACAAGTTATTGTTCATATGGTTTTCCGGCTATCAACGGGATGAAGTACACTTAGTAGTACACCAGCTCCTTTCGGTGCGAGATCGACCGCCAAGTTCGCCAGGTCCAGAAAAGCCGACCCATGAGCAGCCACGACTCACGATGTTAGAGAAGAAACGCGCACTCTTTGGAGTTGAAGGATTGTAATTCTGTAGCGGTGATCTCCTAGAAGTGGGGATACCGTGAAAAGCAGCCTTAGGGGATTGCAGATCTTCGCCAAGCGAAGCATCAATCTACCTTGAACCATGTCTCAGCTGCTCGGTTTTCTCATGGGTGTGGCTGATCAGGTGATTGTTATTGTCCCAACTTCTGGACATACGAAGTTCTTTTAGGATCAGAAACCATGACGACCCCTTACTAAAACCAAGACAACTGCTACCGCATGCTACCGCATGCTACAGCTCAGTTCTGGAAATTAAAAAGACCTGGCTTTTGTTGTGCAACCCGTCTACATATATTTTTGTATTATAAACACTGTTGTGTAGTATGTTTCATGATCTTCAAACGGCACCAACTTTTGCCGGGTACATTCTTTAGTGAATGTGAAAAGACACCGCTACCAAAAGCGATGCCGTTTTAGGGGTTGCAAAGATGTGCTCAAAATCCATGGACGGGAAAAGACGCCGTTTGGACTCCTAAAGATGCCGTTTGGAAGCCTTAAAAAACGCTGTCGTTGTTTTGTTTCTTCCGGTTTCATTCCGCCTGGTCACAACATGTCACAACCAAAAACCGCGGTGCTTGGGAAAAGACAAAGTAACGGCATTGTTCCCAAGATCCAGGTGTATATCATAATATGTTTGGAGGGTTCTGGCAAAGCTTTTAAAATCGTTTTGGTGGCCCATGGGCAGGGTTTTAATCCCATCATCGAACTTGTGGATGAACACATCTTAAGTGCCTTGCTGTTTCTTCATGTTTCTTCTGTCCCACTTGGTGCATCCGATGTCACCAAACTCTCCAGGTGGAAAGCTTAACTCCTATGCCTCCGAACTGCTCTGGCACCTTCCTTGGCGCACTCTCCTGGCTCGTGGGCGCGTCACTTGGCAAAGCGGAACAAGAATTGCCATAGCACCTTACTGCCTCCAACCTACTTGCGATGGCCTCCACCTAATAGCGTCCTTGCTCCTAGTAGCTTCTTGTTCCTAGTAGTAAGGCCAGGAGCTACTAGTAGCGATGCTCTTTGTTCCTAGTAGCATTCTTGCTCCTCAGTTGGGCCTTAGAACGCAAAAAGACTGTTCGGGTGCAGGTCAGGTTTATGCTTCCGTTTTGCACATGGCTACACCCAGTTACTTCGGGTGCGGGTGCAGGATCTGTGAGAGTTTCGATTGTGTTTTTGGTGACTTTGGGCCCATTGCATTACAGAGATCGGACCGACATTTGAAGGTCCTGAGACAGATTTGTCATAATTGCAAACCAAGGGGCTTTCACTTGCCAGTCTATGACCATTCAAAAGCTATTGTTTCTTTCGGACCACTGCCGTTGAAAAAGGGATGGCAAATGAATCCTGACATGGAAGGTGCATCAATGTGCCAGACAGGGCTGTGAACAATGCTCCAAGCATTCACTTGGCCTCCAAGTTTCTCAATGACAGGGTTCACACCCCAGCCACTCACTTTTCACCACCTTCATCCACTAGCATTCGGCCATAGTTGGCCTCTCTGCAGGCATACGCGGCATGTGGAGGAAGAGTTCCCCACGGTAATTCGTTTGTCTTCGGTGCTGGCAGCTGATCCACAGCCTCGAGAGCAGTTGCCCGGAACCATTCAGGAAGGGCTCACGGGACGGAGTCCCATGAGGTGGGCAGATGACCACAAACCGCAAACGGGATTTGAGGCGCAAACCGCTTGGCAGAGCTGAACAAGGCTAGTGTTTCAGCCTGTGCCAGCCAGGCGAACTTTCCTCAAGCTCATGCTCCCGGCCAGAAATTTCAGGACAGTTTGCCCCATTCCTTCTGGAAATCATGTGATTTCGGCCACTGCAAGTTGGACGGAAAAGACGTCCAAGTCTGGTCTCTTCAGTGTGTGTAGATTGAAAGGTGACAACTCTAGCTTGAAACATGCACTTGCCCGCCACTTGCGCCAAACCAAATCTAACCAACCAAGCAGAACAACCCCCAAACCATCCCAAACCCCACCTGGTTGCGCCCTGGTGGGCGCCGACCTTCGATGGATGCTGCCACTCTCCAGGTTATCATGGCTGCTGCCGATCTCAGAGACGCCGGAGCTGGGAGATGATCCTGACCTCATCTTTGTGCCTCGGTGGGCGCCGTCCTGGAGCGTCCAAAGAGGGGACAAAGAGGGGTGACGACATGTGACGGCTCCAAAATCTCAGCCAACTCCTGCTCAAGCTCGTTCACGTTCGTCGTTTGTGTTGTGTTGAGATTCAAAGGTGGGATTGAATCTACTACTGATGTATCTCAGAGATCCCTACACAACTCAAAGTTGGCAACAAATAATCCGAAGACCCAGCTGCGAAGGTGTTCGGGCAACATGGTTTGCACAACGAAGGGGAAACTGGACTCCATCGAGACCACCATAATAAGTCAAAAGAAGAGGCAGGTCGGAGCGGTGCAGCAGAAGTTCAAGGTCCCAGAGCTTTGCTGCTGCTTCAGGGGAGGTGAAAAACAAAGCTCATGAGTTTTGCTTGGCAGATTTGGTCTCCGGTTTTCATGATGCCTGCACAGACTACAAGCGAGACCGAGATAGGCCCTCACGAGGTGCCAGTGGGAAATACTCTCGGTCGCGCCCTGGCGTTGTATGGCCTAATTGGCCAGGTCTATGGAGGCGAAGCTCTCCACTTTCAGCTGAAACATCCCAACTACGCCTTCATCGGTGCTCGCCATCAACTTCGACGGGTACACCTTGCACTCTATAAGAAGCCCAAGTTCCTTGATCATGACAAGGATCTGTGATCTGACCATATCTGGCCCTTTTCTCTTCAAATTTGTTGGCCATGATGGAGGCGGAAATGAAGACACATGCTACGCGTTGCCGATCCGCATGTTGGAGAAATTCTATTGGAAGCGCTTGCTGCAGCCCGAGATTGACGAAGAAGCTCATGGGAAGCAACGCAGTCGAGAGCAGGGCCCGTCAGGTGCTGAGGAGCTAACGACATTTTTGCCCAGTCACCTTTGCTCTGAGACAACGAGGCTTTGAGGAAAGTCTCTTAAAGATCGTAGATCAGTGGTTGCGGAGTTTCTTCTGCATGGGCAACTTTCAGAGACTCATTAAGGTGCTCTTCAAGGTGAAAGTGGACAAGAGTGACCCATTTCGAGATCTGCGGCGGATTGGCGCCTGCTGATGCAAAACTCGGACAAGCTTTTGGAGGCGTGTGATCACCGAGCAAGCACCAGGGACTTGGAGGCAATCGCCAAGCAAGTAGTGCTGGGCCGCAGCTTTTTCCAGGTGTTGGCAGATGAACTGCAGTGACATGGGGTTCACCACTGGAGACTTGGTGGCCATGCTCGAGCTTGACAGCGTGCTGCCGGGCTCGGGCCTTGTGATCCCTGCGGCCTGCGCTTGCATGGGCCTGGCGGCTGTCTACAAGGAGGGCTTGGGCAAGCGTGTGTCCAAGTTCTGCAAGCCTTCAAAAGATGCCATCATGGGGGGACCATTCTTCGTGCAAGAACCGGAAGAAACGGATGGCTGATGAGAGCCTGAAGGTGAACCTGGACGAGGAAGTCACCTTTGAGTTCTTGTTGGGCACCGGGCAGTGGCAGACCAGCTTGAGGCTCATCTACGACGCTGTGATCTCAATGGACTTGAACCCCCCTTTGCCAGTGATGCAGCAAGCCTATTCTTACAAGTACCGAGACTACGACACTTCCAGAAACATGGGCAAGTTGGTCAAATGTTTGGGGAGGCGGAGACGAAGGTTGGAAGGACAAGCAACAAGGGCCGCAGAACTATTGAGAACTGCTGAGCGAAATTCGTGCACTGTTTTGAAGGCGCACTCCAAGGACCACCTGCGCTTGGGAAATGACTTTCTGGAAAGTAGTTGTGGAGGGAATTGATGACGCACGTCACACAACTGATCATCTATAGAAGCCATTTTGTGAGAGCTGCCAGGAGGTCCAACAACGGGCTGCAACCCTACAGACTCTCTGCAATTGGGCATGTATGGAACGCAGAACTATTTAGAGCAAGCCCACCGTCCAAAAAAGGGTCGCTCCGACTGAGGGGGTGACTGAAGATCTAGTAGGTGAACATCTAGAGGAGAAGTCCAGGAGGGCATTCCATTAAGAGCAAGTCTAAATCAGTCCACTTCCGTTCCTCAGAATCTATTGGGGTGAACATCCAGCAGGTTGGCCTACTCAATCCACAGATGTGATCCCTCCCGCCGAAACACCAGGACTTCCTCTCTTTTGTAGCTCCGCCTAAGGAGCCCACTGAGCGGTTGCATGGAATCAGCGAGACCTTGGAACAAGGCACGCGGAGAGGGTTCACCTCCACTGAAGCTCTGAGAAGCTGTTCTTGAAGAAGCTGAGGGAACGGGGAACTTGTTCAAGAGGAAGCAGCACTGGGAAGATTCAGCTAGATGAAAGAAGTCAACCAGATGGTAAACTTGTAAACTCTCCAATCAATGCAGTTCGTTGTGTGTGGGTGTTGGGCCGAAGAGCCACCAAATCCAAGAGACACCAAAAACCAAATCCTATAATAGACGACACCAAAAATAATATCCAAAAATCAGATGAACGTCTAATACGTGCTTGCTCTTTGAACAATACGTAGACTTTCATCTATTGGTATACGCGCTTGCTCTTTGAACAACAGGTCGCGTGGACGAGGTGTTTTTTCCAAAAACTCCCTGACCAGGCGACCTGGTTCTGCTCGACCGTGGGCTCCAGCCCTCAAGGTTTGCCTCCTGTCCAGCAGTGGTGAAAGGCACATCGGCTGAAGGGCCCAGTTTGACATCGCTTCTCATCAATAGCAAGGAACACATAAAGATAATATAAGAGAATCAGCCATAGCTGTTTTGGAGGGAGACGTATCATAGGCCTCGAGGTCGCTTCGCAGGAGGTTTCAGGAAGCGTCCTTCAACTACATGGCAGAGGTCAAAGCGACCCAATTGTCCAAGATAGTTTCCAGCCTTTGGAACTAGAGCATCCTCGCGGCCCACCCTATTAGCATCAAACCAAGCAGCATCAAAGACACCATGCCGTGGTATATTCATATATATATATATATATTATATCTGTGTGTGTTTTCATCCCATGCTTGGGCATTTTGAAGTTTTTGCATTTCAGGCATCATGACATCAGTTTGGCCATGCCCAAATCGGCCGCATGGGTCCTGATCCAAGAAACTCACCTTCACCACCTGCCGAAGAGGTCTGAATAGCTCGGGCTGTAGCGTGGCCGTGCTCGACGAGTCGCGGAGCATCTTCATCGGTGAGTGAGGAGCTGAGTCGGTAGATTGAGGGTAAATGGAGTGAGTCCTGGCAGAAGAAACACCTCAAGGGATGTCAACGACCTTAAGAGTTTATTGGAAGAATATCAAGCAGTTGTCAGGAAGGGTGTGAGAGAGAGAGGGGATGGGAAGATGAGCTCTTGAACTTGCATTGACTCCATTGGGTTCTGCATACGTCACAGGCAGTTCAGTGCTGCTACTGCCATCATGCAGTTTTTCTGCAAACGGAAGAGGGGTGCTTCAAACACGTGCTGCTCCACTGCCCAAAGCTGGCCGTTTTTGTTGCCGCTATGGAACCATAGAAGAACATATACTGTAATACAATTGTCGTGTGTCCAAGCACTTCATGCAGTTGATGAGGTTGCATGTGGCCCTCTCTGACGTGGTGCTGGTGCATTCGGATTGGCGTTTGGGGACACGTGTAGTTCTTGGTGGTCTTCAGAGCAGCTTCTGGGCTTTTGTCGTTGAAGGGCAGGCTTGGGTGCACGGCATAAGCCACCCTTTCGAGGCAAGGAGCTCCTATCGAGCGAGTTATATAGCCGCCGTTTGTTGATGAGAGAGCGCCAATTTCTGCGAAGAAGAAGCACACCAGGATGAGCTCTTCCCCAGAACGATGACAAAGCTAGTCGCGGGTTTTGATTGCAGCTCAGGTCACATGGTGCATTTAAATGGTTTGTCTGCAGTCATTTGCCCGCACAAGCGTCACGGCCATCCATGCGTCTTGGATGAAAAAATATGAAAACTCAGATGCGCATCGTCATACGAAAAACATCGTCATACGCATCTCCTGGATGACCATTGCTTCTTCGCCTCGCTTCGGAGCGGTTGCTTGAGGCTTCGTTCACAAGCCCAGCTCTCCGAACACGGGCGAGTGGCTGACCTTGTGTGTCCCGACGGGTCGGACGTTGGGGCCCTGGGGGATGGGGGACGGGTCGCACAGTGACGGTGATAGTTCCACAAGTCGGGCAAGGGAAGAAGCATGCAAGGAAGTGGTGTTTTTGGTCCAGGTATTCGCTTTGACGAGCCGAAGAAATCGTCCATGCACGCCGTTCTACTGGAGCCTCGATTCCTGGTGGCGGACGGCCGGGCACGTCCACAAGCACATCCCGGAACACCTCGCTTGGAAGGGTGTACCCCGTGGGGGCCTCAGAGGGACGGCTTGTGACCGGTTTCTAGGTGGACCTGTGCGAGTTGCAAAGGAGTGTCTTGAGTTCCATCCAGTGAGTGGATAGTAGTGGGCACCCTGGGCACCCGTATTCTCACATCTCATCATCTGAGAAAAGGTCAGTCTACTACCCTGGCAGTCCACTGAAGGTTGTATGTAATCATGGTAGTCTTCAATGCAGGACGATTCCTCAAGACTGATGACAGATGGTATGACAGCCTTTGATGTTTCTTGATGCTCTCACTCACAAAGAATGGTTGCAGTCTGCAATCACAATGCGCATTAACTATACTAGTTACTAGTTAACGTCCTTGTTACTGGTAGTAAGGCCAGGAGCTACTAATAGCGCCCTTGCTCCGTTCATTGCGATGCCCAGTAGCTCCTTAGTAGCTTCTTGTCCAATTACTGCACGTTGCGTTTTGGATCTTTGGCACTTTTTCACCAGTGTTCCTGTTTGCCCAGGTCCAGTGGGAGCATCCCAAGGTCGAGTTCTTTGACAGATCAGCTGCATAGTGTTCCAAAACAACCGTCAGGCGTCTCCATCGCTGGGTATGTGTGGGGATGTGTGGGGTGCCTGGGTCGAGGTGGGCCCTGTGTCGCATGGCTTGGGTGTGGCCGCTTCTTAAAGTGAAGCGACCCAACAGCGTCACCCGTTGTGACGAACGACCGGTCGCCACAGGGTGGACGAAAGGTTGCAACATATGTACAAACCCTGCACTGCTTGAGATACCCAGCAATGCACCATCCAAATATATCTAAGTAGACAGATTTTAATACGTAATTGAATTAAAAAAGTTATATAAGCATGAACTGCAAATACCCAAGGACATGTGACAGTCAATGTGACATGTGGATCTCCATAACTGTCAGGTGGAGAGGTTGCATGGGACCTGTAGGGCTAACGATTGCTGCGGACTGCCGGGCGCGCAAAGACGTTTCTGGGTGTGTGTGTACTTAGACCGATGATACTACCAGCTCGGTCGATGCTGGATGCTTGAAAGAACACATACAGACCCCTAAATGGTTGTAAGTTGTGAGTTCCTTTGCTTCAGCGGGCCGCAGGTAATCCACACCGTTCACACCGCAAGGGTCCATCCGTACAATCTGCAACTCAGTGACCCAGTGGGAGCCAGAAGAAAGCATCTACAGTCTATACAGCATTGGTGTGTCTAAAGTGATTGTAGCATGTTTGTCACTAAGTATGTCCTCCCAAACTGCCTCCTTTTGGCCCCTGAGATCCTGAGTTAGCAAGGCACAGCTCTGCGGTCATGTTCACCACTTCTGCCGTGCTGGGTGGATGCCAGGTTGCAGAAGACCGTGGATGAGAGCTAACAGTTACCAGGGCCCAACAAGAGTGCCGAAGCAGTTCCTTGGTCGTGGCATGTCGTGGGCTGAGGGAACGTGCGTTCCCATAAGGGCAGCCATCCATGGCTCAGTGGGCCAGGATGGAGTTGCTGAAAAATGGAAATTGTGACCCTGTGCTGGTCCGCAAGCTGGTGGTGGGTGTCAATCCATTTGAACACCTCGCTCAAGCGCTCACCATCGGGGTGGAACACAGTGGTATGTTGACTGGTGCTGTTCTCATAGAGTCATAGAGTCTTGAATGAACCCCGCGAGCTTTCCCATACTCATCGCCGCCTCATCACCCGGCAGAATTCCTCCAAGCTAACTGTGCTGGCACCGTGCTAGATAGACATGAATACCTTACGATTTGCCTGCTTGCCATGGCTTGGTTGGTGGGTGGCTCGGCCGTGATGTGCATGTGCACCAACATCTCAAGGTGTTGCTGTATGTTGGAGGCCATCGCTAGTAGGTTGGAGACCATCGCTACTAGGTTGGAGGCCATCGCTGTTATATAGGTTCCTTTTGCTACTAGGTATTATTTCCCGTTTTTTGATTCCATTGGTATGTGATCATCCAGCCGGCCGTAATTTCAGCACACCCTTTGGAAAGTCCGAGGCCAACAGCCCCCTCGCGCCTGACGGGCACGTCGATGTCCACTTCACCTGGCAGTTTGCTGAGGCAACTCTCTTCGCCATCGATGACGTCAGGCCCGATGTGTCACGGAGTTGGTCCAAAAAAGACCGCCGCGACGTCGCCGGATGTTGGATCTTCATTCACCAAAAAAAAAGGTTTTTCCCCACCTGTCAGGTGAGGGTTGTTAGATTTATGTCAGCCCCATCTTCCTTCCTTCCTTCGTTCCTTCTTGCTTCCTTCCTTCCTTCCTTCCTTCGTCTTCCGCCGGACCTCAACCACGACCATCCACGTTCCCTGCCGGACCTCAACC